CCCGTATTCAAAAGTGATCAGCATTATATTTTGACATCAAATAGCCTTTTTATGGAAATGTGCAAGGTAATTAGTATTTTCTACATTTGCAGTTATTTTTGGTATTGTGTACATGAATCTTGCTCAGTTTTAGTAAGGTTTAGCTACTTGCACTTTAAAGTACAGATGACATATTGCACACAATCCCAGTGAGCCATACTGTAAGCCATTTTTCATACAGAAAATCATAATGGCACTTATCACCAAAGAATGAACATAAACATACTGTACATGTTTTTCATCTAAAAGTTTCAAATCACCAGTCAATTCGGTTATTATAAATATCATAAGACATTTTTGGTTATCCACGACTTCATAAATGTCATGCATACTCTTAATACGCTTGCTGTAGTTACAGATGGGTTGCAATTATATACTGTATATCAAGTACTCAATCAAGGTATTTTAAAGGCTAAATTAAAAGGGAAATTTTTGTCCTTCATTTTATGTCGATTTTGTCTCGTAACATTCTTTCCTTTTTTACTTTATGTTATGACTAAATAAACATTGACGCCAAAGTGTTTAAAAAGATCAATTATTATGCCTTAATCTTTTTTTCCACACATATTGTACCTGATCCCAAGAGGGTAGCACTCTTTAAATAAATTTTTATATTATATTATATTATATTATATTCAGTGTTGGGGAGTAACTAGTTACATGTAACGTAGTTACATAATTTAATTACAAAATAAATGTAACTGTAATCTGTTACAGTTACTTATGAAAATGTTAATGATTACAAAGGGGGTTACATCTAAATATTTTCTTTCTCTCTCTCTCTCACACACACACACACACACACACACACACATTTAAATGATTTTTCTAAATATTTTCTTTATTATTTTAATATTATATTTTAATTATTTTTTTCCCAAATTGCATTGACTGCTCTAAAATATGAGACAACAATGTTTCAGGAGTTTTCATGGTTATTCGATAACTATTTTATTTCCTATTTACACTCTAAAAAATGCTGGGTTGTTTCAACCCAATGTTGGGTCAAATATGGACTAACCCAACTGTTGGGTTAAATTTTGGTTACATTTTTAAATTAGCTTTTTAGCCCAACAGTTGGGTTAGTCCATATTTGGCCCAACATTGGGTTGAAACAACCCAGCATTTTTTAGAGTGATAGGTTTATGTATATGCTTTATTTATTTATTTAATTTTTTTTTTTTTAAGATGTAACTGTTTGCTAATCTGTATGTCCCAAGGCATTGTTAGATGCCAGTGTTTCCTGTAATATCTATGTAATGATTTGATTTCAAAAACAGTATCATAGCTATTAAACTATTGTTATGATTGTATATTAGTATTTAACCTCCAAATGATCTCAAAGTAAACAGAGGTGCTAAAGTCTGATGCCATAAAATCTACATTTTATCATCTTTATTCAAATGAAGGATTTTGAAAGTCTGACAGTAATCAGAGTTGAGTCCTATTATAAGGTTAAACCTGCCTGCTTTAAATATTTGAAAATGATTATCAGTTGAAAACATTCATTAGAAAATTAATTAAAAAGTAATCAAATGGAATAAGTTACATTAGAGTAATTAAAAGAGTTACATTACTTATTACGTTTAAAAAAGGGTAATAACTTGTAATCTGTAACCTACTGTATTACATTTCCAAAGTAACTTTTCCAACACTGATTATATTATATTAATTAACTACACTTTTTAGCACTCAAATAATTAATAAATTGGTCTCTGAACAAGAAAACTGGTCACAGTCTAGGCCATATTGTAACTAGATGAAGCAGTCCTTCTTTCTGCCACCATCTCATGAAAATAACAGTAAGTTCCTGCAGGTGCAGCCAGTGACATGCTGTATCATTCCTTCTTTTCCTTTGACCCAGAAAGCACTGCACATAACAATAGAGCAAATGGTAGTGCCTTTATATAATCTCATTTTGCTTGAGTTTAGTTTAGGTTTTAGGTTGATGCTGGAGGAGGTTTTTGTCTCAATGAAAGCTTTTAAAATTGAGCTTAATATATATGCTGTGGTTGGGAGATATCCATGACTTCGCAACAGTGACGTCATGAATTTAACAGACGACAGATGAAAGCAAGCGACAGAGAGGTATAGATTCCACAAACATCCCCTCTGATGGAGATGAGAGAGGATGGAAAGCACACAATGCTTTTTTTGTGCTCATTTTCTAGGCGAAAAGTTGAATGAGACAGAGGAAAGAGTTTGGCAAAATGAGGCTACGATTCTTCAACATTCAGATCTTCTTGTTGCTATGGTTACGTGTCTGTGGGCCAGTTATGTTGAATTCAGACTCCGCTACTGAGGATGGCTTTGGAATATTTGACTAATCAAGTCTCCTCCTGTCCCTTGCCATTTCTCACTGACTTTTAACCAACTTTCCTCTCCTTAAAATTGACTTGATTTATAGCATGTTCAACTGTTTCCTTACCGTTAACTCCTTTCCTTAGTATGATTTAGATGGCCATTAGCTAGAAAATAAATAATATATTTAATGTATTATAATATATTATAATAAATAATATATTAGAATATTAAATGTGAATATTTTTATTAAAAGATTGTAACATTGTGAAACACTAAAACTTACATAATTTCCTATCAATTTGATTGTAAAGGTGATTAACTGGTAGGGGTCAAAGGTCAATTGAAGAGGAAGCTAGGGTGTGTCATATGAAAGTATGTGTAAAGGCCTGTTTACTTGGACAGGGACCAAGATTGTTTTACATTCAGGGCAAATGAAACCGATCCTTCAACTGTCCACTCATTATCCAGTGGTGGACTAAGACCTGAGAACAAGAGCAGCATGACCCTGCATCCTGATCCTCTTCACTGTTTCTGACACCGATGCTGGTTAGTTTACAGTGGTGAGTGTGATTACAGTATGAACTGCCTGTCAATAGTGGTTAAAAAGGAAGACACGTTGTGTTCATTTTAGAGGTTTCGATTTCAAAAAGCATTGCTATGTATAAAATATATATATTTGCTTTTTACCCAAAATGTATTCTGAAATTAGAAATATATTTTCTTGCCTCTTGATGTACATTATATTTTTAGCAAAAGAAAGGTTAAACAAATAAATGAATAAATATTTCTTAAACTGCAGTTTACAACATATATTTAGCGTATATTTGAAATCTACTTTGACATTTATTTTTCGACATATGGGTTTTGTAAAAACTACCATTTGATGTCCAACGTAAAATCCTGATTTTGAAGCAAAACTAGCTGAGAACCACTGGTTTGGAATCTGGTAAAGGTAAGTTACAGACAGTTATATTCAGGTTAAGTTATACAGTTGTATGTTCTTACCTTCAAAAGAGATATTTATGCTTACAGACATACATACAGATATCAAGAATCTCTATATTGCATGACTGTGTTACGTAAAATACAGAGTGACAGAATATGTCATCTCAATTGTGAACTCCGGGGGGGGGTCTAGACTGAAAGAGAGAGTAAGAGCACTGCCCCCACTCCAGTGTCCAGATGTGGAGTTTTAAAGGGCTATGACCTGAACAGATGGCCTTCTATGCTATTGTAGGCAGGCTGGGATTATGTGATTGCACACGACCAGCCAGGGGGGTGCAGACCTCCACATGTGCTGGGATTATTGTTATTTTTTCTGCTCAGCAGAAGAGTGGTGTATTTCATCTCAAGATATACGGTGGGTACAGAAAGTATTCAGACCCCCTTAAATTTTTCACTCTTTGTTATATTGCAGTCCTCATGTCTACTTGCCCCTGAAATGAGAAAACAACCCCTACGGCCTCTGGACGTCCTGGTACGGCTGGGGGATTACATTGGTTATAGGGTCTGCATGGATTACACCGTTTAGTGCAATTTGTCAGATCTAATGAATTCATGGGATCTCTGTAGTAAAATTTAGTAATTAGAGATGCATGATCACACTGCTGCTTGACGGTAGAGATAAATGAGATAGATCATAGATGTAATGATTATTAAATATAATAACTCCGCACAGTGCACTTAATAATACATTTGTATAAATTAGTGTGTGCGAGTGTTATAAACTATAGGCAGTATGACTGAGAGATAATAATTTGACTTCAATTAAAAGTTAATCTCCTTTAAGCCAACTTGATTAACCAGTAAATCTAAATTTGATTGTTGAAGCTACTTCATCTCATCATTTTACATCATATAAAAATGTATTATTGTTGTTGTTCTGTAGCCTATCTGTCACACAGGCTAAGCCTTGACATGCATTATTCTATCTATCTATCTATCTATCTATCTATCTATCTATCTATCTAGCTAGCTAGCTATCTATCTAGCTATCTAGCTATCATCTCTCTGTGTGTGTGTTCTATTAAATCATGACTCATATTATAAATATATTTTTATTAATATTAAATACATTATAAAACATTTTTAAAACGTATTTGCTACTGTTTTTAATGGCTTTCATTGTGATATGGACCAATTTTGAAAGCAGTTTTATGGTATTTTTGAAGAAATTGTGACGCCTGAAGTTAAAATTATTTTTGTCTGAATTTTCCAACATAACTGGTGTTCTGTTTATGTAGTAAACGAATATAATACGACATTGTAAATCGATTATATAATTAAATTGTAGTATTTAAATAGGAGACCAAGTATTCTTACCTCGAAATGTTATCATTTGGCCAACTTATTGAAGTTGAATGGCACCGCCGCCACTTTACGCGCTACTCTTCCGCCCCCATATGTAGGAAACAGGAACTGCACCCATAGAAAACGATATGACTGCGCACAATAATAGGTCGAGCTGATATTGCTGTATCTACTTTCTCAAGATTCCATATTTGTGCCAGCTCTGAAAATAGCCCAACAGTAATTAATGTGTTATCAAATCGCCCTCCAAACGCTAGATGTCACATGACGACCATTTGCCCCAATGACTTAGGCAAAAATCGCTTTGTTTTGGCACGTGACCGGAAGCGCCGCAGGTTCCAGGAAGCGTTTCATGAATTCAGTTTGACATGTTGGAAGTTGAGAGATGAGAGCAGAGGACCCACGACTAACTGTGCCTACAGATCAGGGCGTATTTCACAAGAGACTCGGACCAATGCAGAACTAGACTGCTGACTGTGACCGGTCACTCTGTCCAGTTGTTTGTCATGTTTTAAAGTTGGCAGGCAGTTGTCGCGCAATGCTAAAGGACGAGCGCACATGCTAGCGCGGCCCCAGTGTCACTGCCTTTGAGTCACAGAGAGCTGTGCTGTTTTCGTTTGTGGTTGTCAGCTGCGGTGTGTTATGTAAGGGTCTTTAAAAAGAAAGGAGATATTTTACTTTCTTTTTAGCCAGCAAGGACATCTTCTCTTCGAAGAGCCGGACTTTGCTTGGCTTGGACAGTGGAGATTTTAGCTTTATTTGGACTGAAATGATCATAGACTGCGGTTGACCGAGGAGCAGACGGTCTCATAACAATGGTAAGTTTTCTACATAGTCCGCTTTAAAACGAATGTTCTGTCATTAAATTGACTCACTATCATGAGTTGCAAAACGAAAGCCTCACTTTCATTGAATGGGAAAAGATGCAGTTAAAGTGACTGAGGCTGTCAACTCCTAAGTTTCTGCTGTACAAACTGTAGAATTTGTCTGGCAGATATTCAGAAAAATCACCTATATTAGTCTTAGTCTGTTTGTTTTAGTGTGGCAAATAATTGTTTAGGATAGTGGTTCTCAACCAGGGAGCCAGGGCCCACTAGGGGGCCTCACGAAACGTCCTGGCCTTAAGATGATTTCAAATTAGACAAAGCAAGTATTAAACTCCTGATATTATGCGTTTAGGAGTCAGAGTTGTGATTCTCGGTGTTCAAAACACTCCGAAGACAATTAGTGTGAATTTTTCATAATGAACTAAAGATATCATATTTTGTTTTTATAATAGTTATTCTTTGTAATTTTGTGTTTTGATGGAATTTCATGATACTACACTATTAATCATGCATGTCTATATAAAATAATGTAAATATAAGAATATATAAATTATATTATTTTCAATTTATACAGTGTTTAAGTAAAAAAATATATAGCAGGTATTTAAAATCCAATCCATGGAAGGCAGATTGGTACCATCCGGTGGGAGAAATAAAGAAAATCATATGTAATACCATGGTGTGATTACTTTTATTAGATTTTTCATATGAATGCTACTTCATACTTGCAACTCTGTAGATTGTAGCCCCAAAATAATTTTCTGTATTTTTTGTTTTTTTTCCTTTCATGGTGGTCATTTTTGACAATGAAGATCACAAATGTGACTTTTTTTTTTTTTGTAAAGACCAATTAACTTTTTCTAATCATGTCCATGTTTTTTTTTTCAGACTTTTTTTCTTAAAAGTTTTGTACATTTCCTTTCCGAAAAAAAACACAGCTAAACAATTAGATTTCTTTTCTTTCTTTTTTCACTCCCTCGACAATTTTAAGTGTGCTTTCTAGACCTGGCAAAGTCACGTAAAGTAATAAAATCTTATAACTCCATGGGCATTGCCATTTTTGTAATGAATTTAGATTTTTCCGTTCCAAGCTCTAAAATATTTTATTGGATAAGAAGCCCTTAATCTTTATTCAATAAATCACAAACAACTAGATAAATCGAGGGGCCTTCAAATATTGTTGATGGCAATAGGGGCCTTCAAGTCAAAGCACTGCTACAAACTTTGTGTTTTGTTTGTGTTTCTTTGACTCCTCAGACTTCAGATGACTGGAGTGAACGCTAACTGTGAAGTTCATCGCCTGCTAGGATTTACATTAACTGACTAATCCCAGTGCACTCTTCCCTTCCTATAATGTTGGAGGGACTTGTTGCCTGGGTGCTCAACACATATCTGGGCAAATATGTGAGCAACCTTAACACTGACCAGCTCTCTATTGCTCTTCTCAAAGGTATTTGAATGCATTAGTTTTAGTCTGTGTGTGCTAATTGGAGCTTACTGTTTGTGTTGTGTATCATTTTGTGAAGTATGCATTTTGTTTTGATCCAGGGGCAGTGGAGTTGGAGAACCTCCCACTAAGAAAAGATGCTCTCCGAGGATTTGATCTGCCCTTTGAGGTTAAAGCAGGTTAGTGGTATTCCAGCCTTTGGGCTGTAGCCAGTTAGAGATTCAGTAAGCAATTTGTTTGTTTTGCTGGATGATGTGACAGTCACCTTGGACTTTATACTACACATGTCAGCGTGCCCCTATGGAAATACCCTGATGATTAATTTATTAAGCAACAAACGTGTCTGTTTATAGAGGGGCTTTTCAAGATAAAGTGAGCAGTTATTCGGCTGATCATGACTTATGTTATCCCAGCATGGTGGCCACTGTGAGATGGACAAACCTTATTTTGAGTAAATTAGCTTTTCCTTGGCCAGTGATGAGTGGAGTATTGATGTTGTGTTTGTATTCCATTTTAAGCATAGTTGTCAGAAGTAATATTTATGTTTTAGGTATTAATCTAATTGCATCTTTAAACCTAAATTAATGGATTTTATTTTGATTTATTATCGGATGCTTATTGGGTGTCTTTGCACAAACATCGTTTGAAATGTTGTATATGCTAACTAAGGGTTAGGTGTTTGCATCTTGTGATCTTAATTGTGGGTATTAAGGAAACTCTTACACAGCAGAAGTATGTCAGAACAGGATTATCTGGATCTTCTTCTGCTGTGACATGATGATATTTGAGAACATGTGTTTTTTATTCTTAGATTTAGGAATTGTTATCAATTTCTCAATGGTATTAATAGACATAAATATTATTATTATTAAATATTACATTACTGTTCAAAAGTTTGTATCAGTAAGATTTTAATACCTTTGATCAGCAAGATGCAATAAAATGATCTAAAATGACAGACAATATATTAATAATGTTACAAAAGGTTTCTCTGTGAAATAAATGGCCTTTTGAACTTTTTATTCATTAAACAATCCTAAAAAAACGTTATCACAGTTTACACATAATATTAAGCACAACTTTTATCAACGTTGATATAAGGGTCACACTTTATTTTAAGGTCCATTTCTTTCCATTAACAAACCATTAACTATGGCTTTTGCCTCAATAAACTCCTAATTTGCTGCTTATTAATAGTTAGTAAGGTAGTTGTTAAGTTTAGGTATTATGTAGGATTAGGGATGTTGAATATGGTCATGCAGAATATGCGCTTTATAAGAACCAATAAATAGCCAATATGTTAATAATAGGCATGCTAATACGCAACTAGTTAATTGTGAGAATTGGTCCCTATACTAAAAATTTTACCATAATTAATGTTTCTGGAGCAGCAAATCAGCATGATTTCCTAAAGATTATGTGACACTGAAGACTGGAGTAATGGCTGCTGAAAATTCTGCAAACTATATATATTCAAATAGATAATTGGGTTATTTTAAAAGGTAAAAATCTTTAACAATAATACTGTTTTTACTGTAGTATAATCAAATAAATGAGCATAAGAGATGTCTAAAAAAAATTTAAAAAACCTTTGAACACTGGTGTGTATGCAAAATTCTGTGTATTTCATAAATATTATGTGTACTTTTTTTCAGGTGTCATTGGGAAGATCACCCTCCAGATCCCTTTTTATCGACCGCACAGTGACCCATGGGTCATCTGCATGTCCCAGCTGAACCTGATTATCGGCCCTGCCCCCCCACAGGAATATGATGAGGTGCGAGAAAGAGAAGCTGAGAGGGAGCAGAGTAAAAGGTAAAAATCTTTAACAATAATACTGTTTTTACTGTAGTATAATCAAATAAATGAGCATAAGAGATGTCTAAAAATTTTTTTAAAAAACCTTTGAACACTGGTGTGTATGCAAAATTCTGTGTATTTCATAAATATTATGTGTACTTTTTTTCAGGTGTCATTGGGAAGATCACCCTCCAGATCCCTTTTTATCGACCGCACAGTGACCCATGGGTCATCTGCATGTCCCAGCTGAACCTGATTATCGGCCCTGCCCCCCCACAGGAATATGATGAGGTGCGAGAAAGAGAAGCTGAGAGGGAGCAGAAGAAACAGCTGCTCAAGGCACTAGAGGACAAGTGGAAGGTACAGGCTGGTAATAAAATGTCGTTGAATTGCTGTAGTCAAATGCTGACGTTTTTCATATTTTACTTGTGTACTAGTGTACATATACATTGACTGTAAGTGATTTATTTGTCTGTTCCATTCTATTTGATTGGTCTTCTAATGCTGATTATTTATTTATTTATTTTAGCCATTATGCTTTAAAAATACAAATTTTTGCTATTGAAATGATTAAAATGAGACCAAGCACTCACAGTTCTAAGGATATATCTTTTTAATGACACTTTCAATTGTATTTAAATTTTATTTATATTAATATTTCACTGTTGTTTTTAATGCTTGCTTTTTGTGTTGTTCTCTATGAATCAATTTGAACTTTTTATATATGAAATGCACAATTCAATTATGTGTGTTTTTAATAATTGTTTTGTATTTTATCAGAGTGAATGTGAGCAGAAAGGAGAATCTTACTGGTACTCTGTCACAGCGTCTGTTGTGACTAGAATAGTTGAGAATATAGAGGTAATTTTCAGTATTGTCATAGTTACTTCTTTCCTTGCACTTGTTATAGTTTAATTTCATAAATAAATATTTATTTTGCTATTCTGTATGTTATTAGTTGAAAATTCAAGGTGTCCACTTAAGATTTGAAGATGATTTCTCCAACCCTGAGAAACCCTATGCCTTTGGTGTTTGTATCAAGAATGTATCTGCACAGAACTGCTCCAAAGAACCAGTGAGTTATCCATATTATTTGGTATCTTCATGAAGTGGCTCTGTCTTTACATGTTGGAACATGAAAGGTAAATTCTTTATTCACAGGCTCAGAAGCTTATTCGGCAGAAGGAGCTGGAAATTGGTGAATTCAGTGTGTACTGGGACACGGAGTGCAGCATGCTTGGAGATCTTCCCTCAACAGACGTACAGGTAAATTTTTTATAATGTAAGGAAGGACACTCAATAGCACAAAGGCTAGTGCTTTTTGTGAACTTTTTCTCGATCAATTCAATTGTCTGTTACAGGAGATGATGAGTAAATATATGCAGAGCCGTGAGCATCAGTATATATTTGAGCCAGTATGTGCCTCTGTGCTGGTGAGGAGGAATGCCTCTAAAGAGCCGCTACGATCTCGTAACACGCCTCGCATTGAGGGCCAAGTGCAACTGGAACCCCTCTCACTTCGTCTGTCACAGGTAACTTTTTTTTAGGTCCCATATGTGAACCTTTCCTTTAGGCTGTTTTCTGGCACTCCAAGGAATATTGGCCCGACATTACATGTAAACTTGAGCACTTTTTGTTGATTGATTGATTGATTTGTGCGATGATGTCCCCTTTTATATCTGCTTCAATGTGAACATCAAAAGTAGTTGCAAATGGTTCCTTTTCTGGGTGACTTTAACCAAACTGGGTTTGGTTCATTTAAAATATACTATATGTGAAACTTCATTTAGTTTCGTCTTTTACTGTTTAACTCACATTTATGATTTAAATTGGTGCTTGTTTTCAGGTTCAGTATCAACAGATTATGGCATTCTTTAAAGAACTGGACCGACGAGAAAGGGAGATGCTTTTTTGGAAGTGGAGACCAAAACATCCCATTTCTGGAAAGTAATGAGATTTCTTTTTTTCCTATTACAAACAAGCCTAAATATGTTTTGAAATAAGCTTTAAAAACCTCTTAATAGGTCATGTTGATTAAAACCTGAAAAATATTTTGTTACTCATTAATGGTATTTTTTACTAGAATAATATCTCCTTTTAATGTTGAAGCTGTCGACAGTGGTGGATGTTTGCCATTAATGCCAACCTGAATGAGATCAGAGAACAGCGGAGACAGGGAAGCTGGGACTTTGCTCTGCACAGGGCGCGTGATGCCAAACTCTACACTAGCCTGTATTTCCAGAGGCTTAAGGGAGTTACTTTGAGTCCACAGGAGGAGGTAAGAATTATGGATTTACAGGATTGAAGAGTTAGATTGCCACAATGTCTCAGTATTCACCTTTGCATGAGTGGTTCTTAAGTTTGGAATCTTACATAATCTGTAATCTGTGTCTCTCACATCAATAGTGTGAGTTAGAGAGGATTGAAGATGAACAGACACTGGAGGAGTTGCAGATTCTCCGGGACACTGTTTATGTCTCCTTCCGCAAACATGAGGAAATTGCAGAGGCAAGCTGAGATGACTTACTTTAGTGGCACAGTTGTGGGTCTTTGAAAATGTCAGAGTTGAAAGTCATTGCTGATACTGTGTAGCCAAATATTGAAGAAATACATTTTATTTGAAAATAGTATTATCGATATAATCACTGTCCATACATTTGTTAAATCCAGTCTCACTTAACACTAATTAATCATGTATTTTATTCATCCCTCATATCCATTTAGAGTCTACGAGAGCCTATGATAAATGAGACCCCAGCCTCCTGTCCCTCAGGCTCTATACCTAAAAGTGGGAGTTCTGGCATGATCCAGTATCTGCAGTCTTGGTTCCCAGGCTGGGGTGGCTGGTATGGAGGAAGTGAAAGAGGGCCAGATGGACAACCAGTATCAGATGACCTTCTACCTGGCACTGCCCAGTGGGAAATTCTTGGTGAGTCTTCCATCAATGCTAACTGGAAAAAGATGATTTTTAAATAATTTCTGCAGGTACTAATTTCTTACAAATGTCTCTTTGTATTAAATTACAATTATATAGAACATTTTCATAGTATTATGCACCATGTATCAAGTCCCTTCTCTCCTCCAAACAGCTGAGACAGATGATCTCTTTGATCCTTTGGAGGATTCACAAACACTGAATACCTTTACAAGAAGGGATCATCTCTTTGCACGGTTGGACTTTATCCTTGAGAAAGCAGCTGTCACCCTGTACCATCAAGACAAAATGAAACCTCTTTTGAATGAGAGCGGGGTTATTCAGCTAGAGTTTTCAGGTTTATATATTATTATTATTATTTATTTATATATATATATATATATATATATATACTTATTATTGCAATAAAGTCTCAATGGCTTCAATTTTGAAGGTTGGTTTTACATTTTTAATTTTGCTTCACAGGTGTGAAGATCGGAGTTGAGTCTCTTCCTCGCTCAGAGTCTTCATTACTCACAGTGAAACTTGGTGGGCTGTTTCTCCGTGATCTCACTACCCAGGGCTCCATCTTTCCTGTTCTTGTTTCACCAAAACCGGTTAGATTTTTTCTCACATTTAAATTTAGTTGTTGCCATAGAACAGTAATCTTCATGTGCTGAAAATATCTGTGACAGAAATGTAATAATTGATTTCATAACTTTTCTACATTTTAAGGACAAGGTGGCTGTTGCTATCAGTCAGCCTTTTGGCCAGACTAACTGCACAGAAATGAGCAATCTATGTGAGTTATAAATTAAAACATATATCTGTTGTATGAAAATACATATATACAAATAAATGTCTATGAAGGCTGATTAAGAACTTCTATTTTTGTATTTTTTCAGCCTCTGATATGGAATCATCAGCACCACCTGTCTTTGAGATGATTTATGAACGTAATCCAATAAGGAGCAAATTTGAGAGGAGACTGGAGGTCAATACCAGTCCTCTCAATATCATTTATAACCCTCAGGCTATCAAGAAAGTGGCTGAGTTTTTCTACAAAGGAAGGGTCCACACTTCGGGTGTGCATTAAGGATAAGCATCTATCCTAAATTAGTTTGAATTGGTTTTATGAAATATTAGTTCATTATGGTTTATATAACATTTTCCAGGATTTGGATATCAGTCTGAGTTAGAGCTGAGAGTGGCTGAAGCAGCCAGGAGGCAATACAACAAGCTGAAGATGCAAACCAAGGCAGAAATCAGACAAACCATTGATCAGCTGCTAGTTGGAGAGTTCATTGTAAGAGAGGACTTTATTTAATTGCAATCAGTTACAGTCTCAATTAGATATTAAGTAATAATTCTGCTGTGGTTTTTCTTTCACAGGAGAACAGTAAGCACTGGACTATGAAATTAGATATATGTGCCCCTCAAGTCATCTTCCCAGATGATTTTCAGTCTGAAGACCCCATGCTAGTTGTTGTAGACCTTGGGCGAATTCTTCTTACTAATTCCCAAGGTAACTGGTTCTGGTCAAATAAAATTTTCTGCTGTAGCCTTTCCATACATTCTGACTTTATTGCAGTTGATGGCAACTTGTAACAGTTTTATTTGTCCTCCCACAGAAGACCATAAAACAAGTCCTAAGACCTCTCAGACAGAAGGAGAAAGTGATGAAGAATTCCAGACACCATTAGCAACACCTCCTGGGACTCCACCTCCAGAGAAAGAGGTGGATGTCAAAGGTCAAGAGAGGCCCTGTGATATTACCAGCCTTAAGTCAACAGAAGGTGCCCAAATTGTCAGCAAAAACCTATATGAGAAGTACACCTTATCTTTCAATGACCTCCAGATCATGGTCGGTCACTATAAAGACAATTGGAAGCATCTACAGGACAGTGAAGTGGGCCCCACTCATGTGGTGGAGAAATTCAATGTCCTACTACAGCTAGAGCAAAGGCTACGATACACATCAGACCCTCAGTTTCCAGGGGCTGTTCTCTCTGGAACACTACCAGACCTTAAAGTGCACATCAACCTGGAGAAGATGACTGCCCTGAGAAGCTGCCTGGCTCGACTTGGTAATTCAGGGGCAGATGGAGGTGACGAACATGGGGAGAACCTCAAATCCCCTGACCCTCTTATACTTCGTCATGAGAAGATATTTCAGAGGGAAGATAGTGATTGGAAGCTCCAGAGTTCTGATAAAAATCTTACCAAGAGTGTGATGACACTTGAGCAACATACTCGAGAGGTGCTTGTGGAATCTAGACTTCTGCTTGTAGAGTTTAACATCAACTACATGCAACTTGGCATTGAAAGTGGAGGCCAGTATATTTCTGTTCTGAAAGTATTTGGAACAAAGTCACATTTTGTAAAGCGACCTTATGATGCTATGGTTTCCCTCACAGTCCATGGACTCTACCTTGTGGACACATTGCAGACGTATGGCTCTGATTTTGATCTTCTTGTTGCATCACATAAACACCTAAGTTTTGATGTACCTACTGGAAGTCTGCGAGAGAGCCAGCCCACATCACCTGTCTCACCAGACGGTAAATCTCCAGAACTGCCAGGTCTGCGCAGGGACTCCTCGGATCTTAATTTTGACAAGGCATCTCCACGGGGCTCTCCCCTGAGAGACCAGGAGGCACTCATTAAGTTGGAATACCAGTTTGTCAGCTCAGACTGTCCGTCTATGAACTTGGACCGCTCTCTTCAGGTCACCTCCATGCAGGTCAACAACCTGGATATCATCCTTAACCCTGAAACCATAGTAGAGCTTTTAAAATTCCTTCAGCAGTCTTTCCCCAAAGATGAAAACTCTCCAACACAACAGCTACCACCACTGCCTAATGGAGAAGAGAATGAGGATACCTATCAGTCCACTTATGTCCAGAATAAGGAGTTAACTGTTGAAATTCACAGGTTAAACTTGCTGCTTTTGCGAACTGTTACCACCGGGACCGTTTTAGGAGGTGAGAAAAAAGGCATGAAAATTGCTACTGCCAGTGTAAATGGCACAAAAGTCAATGTTTCAATGGGAAGTCGATTGGATGTCAATGGTTCTTTAGGATGCATTCAGCTCGTAGACTTGACTCAGGAAGGTGGCAGAAGTCAGTTTGTGGTCAGTATTGGAAGTGTAGAAGACAGCTCCTCTACAGATGGTGTGGCATTCTTTTCCATTCCTGGCATGGCTCCCTCTGAAGCTTTGAGTTTCCGATTTATGGAAAAATCTCAGGGAGAATGCTCCCTCCAACTTCAGATGGCATCTTTACACTATAACCACTCAGCAAAGTTCCTGAAAGAACTCAGTTTATCAGCAAATGAAGTAGAAGACAACTTCCGGTCTATGCTGAAAACTGCAGCTACAAAGGTCTCTACTGTATTGGCAACAAAAACAGCAGAGTACAGTGGTATGGTGTCTCTCTTTGAGAACCCATACAGAAGATCTAGGAGGCAGAGTCAGTGTAACTGGACACTTGACCCATTTGAGGAAGACTATTTCTGTGTCCCTGAAAAGGAACCAGGATTGGATTCTTTTATGGTCAAGTTGACTCTAGATGTCAGTATAGAATCCCCAGTTGTGTCTATTCCTAGAAAACCTGGTCACCCTGAGTTGCTTGTAGGACATTTAGGGAGCATACGAATTCAAAACTTTGTTACAGGGCATGACTCAGAAGGGGAGAAACTGCAGGTTGAAGTGAAAGATATAAGACTCTATTCAGTCAACACAAGCAACTTGATTTTAAGAAAAGGAGCACAACTTAACAGCAGCACCACGTCTGGACCCTCACCTTCTCATGGTGGCAACATTAATCTGAACGAGCCACAATTTACACGACATGACTTCTTTGAGTACTTGAGCCGAGGAAAAGGTAAGTTGGAAATAAAATTTGGTGAATTCATGAAGCTTTTCCCCCTTCTTTATATTTAAGTCCTTTCAAGGCACTTTTGAACATCTCCATCTCTGTCTTCTTTCAGCATTTCATATTCTCAAAGATGCCACCATCCAGCTCACTGTTGAGAAAGTCCCTGTTGATGAAAACTTACATTTTACCTTCTCAAGTGAAGAACCTTACCAGAGCACTGGGTTAATGAAAGTGGATGGAAGATTTGTTAATGCCGTCCAGGTAAAGCACTACCCAAATGCATAACAGTTGTCCCTTTGTCATATGTAAATTCCATATTTTTAAATTGTTACATTTTCTGTCAGGTGTGTCTGTGTAAGCCTGTGTATGAGCAGGTCCTTCAGACTCTCGATAATCTCTCTTTCATCGAAGATCAGAGAGTTACGCCCAGTCAGTCCCCCACACCACCACCTCCCACTCCTTCCTCCACTAAACTGCATCGCTTCCCTGATCTGCAAGGTGGACTCTTTGCTCGTGACCCTCCTTATGTTGGCATTTCTTACTCCTCATTGTCTTCATCCCTTTCAGCAACACTTCCACTGCAAAACAAGAGCCCCCCTCTCCAGCCTCCCTCTTTTACCCAAGTGAGGGCCATCTTTCGGGTCTCAGAGCTGCAAGTGCAGTTGAGTGGAGACCTTAGCCAAGGATGTCAAGGGTTGGTCAGTCTGCGCTTTCAAGACCTGGAGGGGGACTTCACCAAAGATCATCCCCATTCAGTCTCCATCCAACTAGCCCTTCACTCCTTGTTAATGGAAGACCTGCTAGAGGAAAACCCTGAATCAAAGTACAAACACCTTATGGTGTCCAGAGGTGCACCAAAGCCCTCCACCTTCAGTCCAAAGGAATATTTGTCACAATCTTGCCCAACAACGTCCAATGTTCTGTGCGCAGAAATGCCCCGTTCTCTTCCAGCACAATTTGAAGAAGCACAGAATGTTTTCCAATTCTATCAAAGGCACCCCAGTACACCATCTGCATCCAGTCGGAAGAGCAAGAAGGATGCAGAGTGCCCCAGTACCCCTCCTCCATCCCCATCCCGCCATACTCCGTCTCCACACCCACGGCCAGACTTTGATGATTCTTTGGTACATATCAACGTGCTAATGGTTGATAGGCGGCACCCAGAGTTTAAGACACGATATGGCAGTATCGGCCGTAGTGTGGATGTGGACTTCAACTGCCTTGATATTCTCATCACACTGCAAACCTGGGTAATGATTCTAGACTTCTTTGGCATTGGCTCTACTGCTAATAACCATGCTGTGAAAGTGCCTACCACCACACCTCAGCCTACACCTGAACACTCACTGGAAAATAGTACCCTCAATGATCTGGGAGATTTGTATACAGAGATTGAGGAAAGGGTCAATACAAAGCTAGATTTAAAGGTACAGTAAAAAAATAATGCAAGAAATTTTAATAATTATATCAATTAATAAATGTTTTTAAAAAGAATATATAATGAACAACATATGTTTCCTTACATTCAAAAAATTATGGACAGTATAAACTTTAAAGAAAATGACTTGTGTACTTCCTCCACAGGTTCACTCTTTATCACTGGTACTAAGGAAGAAATCCAACGAGCTTGCTAAAGCTAGTGTCTCTAAACTATTTACTCATATGGAAATGATTGGTGTGTATAATTTTAATAATATTTGTTCAAATCAGAAAAAAGCTTTTTCTAAAAATGTATGTTTTATGTACACCACACTTTTAGATGGAGATCTGGCATTGCAAGGAAGTCTGGGAAGTTTGTCATTGAGTGATTTGACAACCCACGGTGATCTGTACAGAGAGAGATTCACAACACATGGTGGAGAGGCCCTTGTCTATGACATACACAAGTATTTTCTTTTTTTCTATCATTTTATGCATATTACATACAGGTCCACATTTTCAAATTTTTTTGTGTCCATAATTTAATTTTGACATTGCCTCTATCTCCAGGTATGGCGAACCTGACCCCTGTTTACAGCGAGAATATGATATGAAGGTGTCTCTTCAGATGGCCTCAGTACAGTATGTCCATACCCAGCGCTTCCAGGCTGAGGTGGTGGCCTTCATCCAGCACTTCACACAGCTACAGGATGTCCTGGGCAGGCAGAGAGCAGCCATTGAGGGTCAGGCTGTAAGGGCCCATTTGAATTCTGTTTGTTCAGTTGTAACTTTAGACAATAAATTGAAATGTTGAGATAGCATCCTTAAATTTTATTTGGCCCACCTTGAGGCTGCTTTGCACTACAACCTAATGTAAGTGATGCATGTATCCCAGGGAAAACAGACCAGCCATTGCTGCTCAGATAACCATTTGGGTAATCAGCTGGATGTCCTCAATCCTTCCCTGCAGAGACAAAATAGAGTTATACAAGTTGTTGTCAACACCCATTTCCTTCAAACTGGAGACACTGGTGATGAGGCTGGACACTGAGCTGTCCTGGCTCTAATCCCCTCTTACATACCACAGGCTAGAGATCAGCAGTTACCCATTAGGACATTCTTGTGTCTTGCTCTCAGTCCTTTTTCCGCTTTGCACTAGCAAAAGTACCAATATTTGGATCTACTTAACAGGTTTTTGTTGATTTGATTAATTCATCTTACCATCAGTGTTATCTTGCAAATGGGTTGGTTTTCTTTGAAGTATTTTGAAATGCCCAGATGTGTAGGTCAAATGAGAATTTTGTTGCTTTCACAGATAATTGTTTTGTTCTGTGTTTTAGACAACATGGTTATTGTGCATTCTTGATCGAGCTAATCAAAATGCTGTGCTTTTTAAACCAGTTAGCGCTGTGCTAATATGTTAGAATGCTAACTGAAAACAAGTTTCATTTGATCATTTTAACTTTGAAGTTTAATGAACGACTTTGTGCTGAGTTGGTCTGCACATGATAAACAGAAAATGTAAAATGCTGTCATGTTGTTCACCTTAATATAATCACTCTAAATTAGCTTAACATTTAAAAATAGATGACTTTATTCGGACATGTAGTGAGATGCCATTTAATTCTAGGCCGTCATGACATTGCAGTGATCTTTAAAGGGGATTGTTTTAATTCACCTTCTACCTTACAGGTGCGTGAGCGCCCACAGCGAGCTCCGCGTGTGCTACTGGACATTGAGGCAGGTGCTCCTGTCCTCTTGATCCCAGAGAGCTCCCGCTCTAAACGCCTCATAGTGGCCAACCTGGGCCAACTCCGAGTGCGTAACCGCTTCCTGCCTGCTGGCACTCGTGGCACCTTCTCTCTCAGAGATAAGGTAGAGAAACTTACAATGGCACATACCTTTTTCCCTTCTCTGGTGAGTCCTACCATCACCATATACACACTACACCACCACTCTGCACCTGTGGGATGCATTTAAGGAGCATTTTACTGTCGGTTTGATGCAATCTGAGAATGATTTCATAATGTAAAAAAGACTTGGGGGTGGGGAAACGCATTGAGGGTTGATAGCTTAAATTGAATTTCTCAAACAAGCATTGAGGAAATTGCTTCATGGATGTAGTCCCATTCTTTACTCTGCATGGTTAAGATCACAGTTTTTTTGTAGAAAAAGTATATTAGTGTGGATTCACCTTTAATTTAATCCCTGTGTGGTTGTCTACAGGTTGTGTGAATATGAGACCCAAATTAACAACAACAGTTTATGAACATTAACATTCATCTTATTATTTGTGTTTGAAGAATTTGATTTTGCATGCTAATTCATACAAGGATCCCTCACATTATAAGGTATCAGGGAATGCTAATCGGATGTGTGTTTCTTATTTGGTAATATGATGGTGTCCCTTCTCTCTTTGCTTTTTTCATGACTTATGCAAGGAGTTTCACATTAAATTAATTCCATTTGAATTTCCAATTCAGTGAAATTTAATGTAAATGTCACCCAAAAATGACAAGTATCTCATTATTTACTCACTTATATGTTTTATGTACTGTATGCTGATTTTTATTTATTTATTTATTTGCATTTGTATGGCAAAGATCTATGTAAACATTATTTAAAACATCCTTTTATGGTGTTTAGATGACATTATGTAAATAATGAATTTTCATTTCTGGGTGAACTATACCTTTATTTTATATTAAAAGTGAGCCATGCATGTCTTTGAAGATTAGCAAAGTATTTGTGACTTTGAAGTAATTATCCTACATGAGTGATATATGGTGGAATTGATGCCAACACTGTTTTCTATGTCAGTCTTTTGGCTGCAGTGCACACTGAACTAAGCTCACACTTTTGTTATAGTATCTTTTAAATCTAAACGTTTTAAGATCACACATCTTATTTCCAATTACATTTCTATACTGCTTCTATAATTAACAATTCATATTTTGGTTGCAATTTTAAAATGATCTCTCTTTGGCTGTTGATTTACAAAATAATAATCATTCCTGAAGGATCGCGTGAAGGATGCCCAGTCTGCCTCGGATGCTAGGAAGACTATTGATAAAAAGTCTTCAAGTTCCAGCACAATGTCTGGATTTACCCTGGGCAGACCCCAGCCTGGCCTCGAATGCATCCCAGAAGCAGATGTGCCATCGAGTCCAGGTTAGTACCCAGAATCTGAGATGCACTTTATTGTGAGGAAATTTTTACTAGTGGACTAATTCTTGAGATACCTTCTGTATATTTTTATCTACCTGAACTCATGTGGTAACTGACATGCCCTTGTGTTACAGAAGACCATGTGTGTCTGCTGGACTGTATAGCTCTGGACCTTCAGGAGATGGACATCTTTGCAGCAGAGCGGCTGCCCTGTGAACCATGTGACAGTGATGCAAAGCATCTGGAAACAGACTTGATCTTCCCATCTTACGCAGTTCGTAGGAGTGGAGAGAGGCTGCTAAAGGAGCGCTGCTATCTAAAGCTGAAAGTAGAGCGCAACCTTGACAAGTCAGTCAGCTGTCCTTATGTATCTTAAGCTTTTCTGCCTTATTTAAACATACTCCCAGTTTAGGTTTTATTTGTCTTTGTTTTGAACATGTGTTTCATTTCCACCTTGTCTTAGGGAACTAAGTCATGCTGTCCCGGACATGTCTATCCACGGCAGCCTGTCTTCTGTCCACTGCTCCCTAGACCTGGAGAGGTATCAGCTGATCCGCGGACTCTTGGAGCACAACCTGGGAGAGCCTGTGGAGGAGTTCCTCAGACCTTACAATCTCCAAGACCCCAGCACCTATGTAAGCTTATTACAGAAACTTTGCTGATAATCCTTTTTAAATGCGAATTGTTTTGTTGTTCACAGTTAAAACCGGCATTTCTTTATCATATGATTTTTAGCTTGCCACCATTTAAAAAATTACCCTTCATTTGAAAAAATTACCACTGATATAAATTTTTAAGAATGGCAAATGTGTTTATTTAAAGTAATTTTCAGGCTTTGCGGGCCATCACAATGTATTAATGGAAGTGTCGTTAAACAGTGGAACTGTGATTAACAAGAAAAATTTAAAATATTGCTGACCACTGATATGAATTATGTAGAATGGCTAATTTGTTTATAAATTAGATTTGGTAATTTCTTGATTCTTTTACCATCGCTTCCTATCCCCTCTTGAACAGTCCTATCTGTACTAAAGGCAAAGCCCAAAAGAATATTTGCAGGTTATTCACAATGTATTAATACAAGAGTCATCTTGCAGACCGTGTTAAGTGGTGATGTGTACACATCCCTGTCTCTTCTGGTGGACATGAAGGACGTCAGTCTGGAGTTACTGGACAACCCTAAATCTACAGGCCATAACCACTCCTTGGCCAGGTACTTCTTTGTTCAAAATGTTTTATTTCTTTACCATAGGGATAACTAATGTGCTTACTCTTTTACTCCTAAAAGGTTTGACTTTATGAAATCGAAGCTCCTGTTCGAGAGTTTCTCTAATAGCTCCAAGTCTGTGAATCTGGTGTCTCATTCACTTCTGGCACATGACACGCGATTCACTGGGAGCAGTGGCCCCACAGAAGGGAAACGCAATGTGTTTGATTGCATTCTGCAGCCGTCCAGGACCGGCGCTAACCGAGCCTCACTGCAGCTGGAGCTACATTACAGGTCTGGGGCTGCCACTGAAAGCATTTAAATGCATCTAAAGACTAAATGCTTGTTCTACTATATATTCTCTCTCACACAGATCTACGCGGGACTCCTCATGCTTCACGGTGGTTTTAAACAATCTGCGAGTTTTCCTCATTTTTGATTGGCTACAGCTGGTGAGGGACTTTCTGCACATGCCTGCAGAAAAAGGAGCAGCGCCTACCCACCAGCGCTGGCCTAGTGGCAGCAGTGACCAAGGCGGCACAGGAGCCGTCATGCCCAGAACAGTCAAGAGTGGCGTGGTCACTAAACGATCCACTGTGCCAGTCACTCAAGATAAATACCTGGAGGTCAAAATCAATGTGACAGGTAACATCTTTACAATACTGTGTATTGTAAAGTCCTGACATTTTTGGACACACAAATCTTACAATTGTGATGTATAAATTTCATTGAATTAGATCAGGGCTTTTCTTGATTAGATCAAAAATTCAAAAGCTACAGTCAAACCAAAAATGATTCAGACACCAGATATAATTTTTGATATTGTTTTACTAGTGGGTGCAGGCAATAGTTCATTTATGTAAGTGAGGATAGCAAAATAAAGTAAACCGTGACATATATACCCAAAATTTCTTCATACAGTGGACTATCTGTAAAATTGATAAACATTTGGTATCATAAATTATTCAGACACTTTGACCTGACCTTGTTTTGCTTAAGTGTTTTTTCTTTAATTGCTAATGCGACCTTTTTATACCACAGACTGAACAAAATTAAGCATTGCTTGGTAATTGGTTGACCTAAATTGGTATTATCTAATTGTGTACTTGAATGTAACAGCTGACAGCTATTCAACCGAATTCATTACATTCCCTTCTATCAAAGTTATCTGACATTATCAAGATGAATTTGTTCTGACACAGTTTAACTCTGTGAGTTCTTGTCATATTTTATTACCATTTTCTAAACTATGGCAAATAAACTGTGATAATGTGAGAAATGTTGAAGGTGTCTGAATAAATTTTGGTTGGACTGTATATAAAAATACCCATTGTAGTGTACATACACTGCAGTTAAATGTTTTATGTTTGAAAGAAGTCTCTTATGCTCACCAAGGATGCATTTATTTAATCAAAAATACAGTAAAACCAGTAATATTGTGAAATATTATTACAATAAAAAAAATTCTATATCTGGAATTGCATTGTCTAATTTCTGCTCTCTTTTTTTCCTTTAGGGACAGAGTTTGTGGTCGTTGAAGATTCTTCATGTTTGGACACCAATGCTATCATTCTGAAAGGCACTACTGTACTCACCTACAAGCCTCGACTTCTGGACAGGCCTTTCTCTGGCAGCTTAGCAGGCATTGAGGTAATGTGATACTATGATTTTACAGTATTCATGACAAAAGAAAGCAGTGTTGTAGTTAAATTTTTTTGTTTTCTTCCACCCCTGCTTAGGTATTCTCCTGTCGACTTGGGAGTGAACAGGAAACAGCTTTGTCTATCATTGATCCTGTCAATATACAAATGGAGCTCTGTGGCAGCCCAACGTACCAGAGCAGTTCAGGACTCCTTGATCTTATGCTCACCAAGGATGCATTTATTTAATCAAAAATACAGTAAAACCAGTAATATTGTGAAATATTATTACAATAAAAAAAAATTCTATATCTGGAATTGCATTGTCTAATTTCTGCTCTCTTTTTTTCCTTTAGGGACAGAGTTTGTGGTCGTTGAAGATTCTTCATGTTTGGACACCAATGCTATCATTCTGAAAGGCACTACTGTACTCACCTACAAGCCTCAACTTCTGGACAGGCCTTTCTCTGGCAGCTTAGCAGGCATTGAGGTAATGTGATACTATGATTTTACAGTATTCATGACAAAAGAAAGCAGTGTTGTAGTTAAATTTTTTTGTTTTCTTCCACCCCTGCTTAGGTATTCTCCTGTCGACTTGGGAGTGAACAGGAAACAGCTTTGTCTATCATTGATCCTGTCAATATACAAATGGAGCTCTGTGGCAGCCCAACGTACCAGAGCAGTTCAGGACTCCTTGATGCCTTCAACATAGAGGACTTTCCACCTCTGTTGGAGGTCACTATTCAGTTAAATTGAACCACAGGTCAGGATGAACTATATAGGTCCACAATTTAAGATTTCGTTTCCCCCACAGATCCAGTTTCCAGCTCTAGACATCCGTCTTTCCTACAATGATGTGCTGCTTTTCCTGGCAATAGCCAAGTCCATTCCAACCACAGGATCCACCGGCCCTTCGGACACTGCCACAGAAGCTGAGATTTCAGCGTCCACTGCCAGCACAGACACTCCATCCAAATCAAAGGACAGCTTTAAGCAAAAGACAGAGGCTTTACTGGGTTTGTTAACTGATAAAAAATATATTGTTTCTATTTGAATATCTCAAAGATATCTGCGAAGATTTGTTTATTTTGGGGGGAAACTATCCCTTTATTTAAAAAGCTTTGCTGAAGTTTCTTAAAATATTTTATTTTAGAGGGTCAGCTTAAACGGTTACAGGATCTTGGGTTCAAAAGGGAAGACTGCAGACGGGCACTCATTCACTGTAAAGGTACACCAGTGCACTTGTCTACCAAAATCACAGAAAAAACGTGTGAATTGTGTGATGATCCATTGTCTGTGTGTGTGTGTTTTGAATTACAGGTCAGTTGGACCAAGCCGCCACATGGCTGTTGGAGAACGCAGAGAGCATGTCTGGCCGAAGCCGAACCGACTCAGACTCCAGCAGCCACTCGGCTCCTCCCCTATCTGGAGTGGAAGTGAAGGCAGAGAGCGTGTGTATCTGCTTTATCGATGACTGCCTGGACTGTGACGTCCCTCTGGCAGAGCTCACCTTCTCACGTGAGGATGGCCGCATACTGTGATACTCCATAATATCAAATATACTGTAGGCAGGACGTTCTTTAGCAGCTTTTCTCTTCTATTGCAGGTCTTTATGTTCTCCAGAGGATTGGGTCTATAAAGGAAGGCAAGGCTAGTTTCACTCTGTCTGGAGATTATTACAACAGAGAACTCTCAGGTAAGATCTCAGCATTGTGTGCCACCCTGGATCTCAGTACCTTCTCAAAAGTTAGTCAATCCTTTCTACAGTTCAAATAACATTTAACTCACTGGTTTAAGAGTCATTTTATAGAACTATCCCATTTTATCTCTCCGTAAGTATGGAGTTTAAATTAAAATCTGAGACATTGAAAGGGGATGCTTAAACTAACTTATACCTGGAATGTAGAGATGCACTGCTATTAAAATTCTGCCTAATAGTTATTTATATGCTATAGCTGATAACCAATACATAATATTAAAACTGAGTACTATTTTGTCTAAAACAATCAATTATATTGTTATATAAGCTAAAGTGAATTTAGGCATTATATCATTATTATGGACAGTATGAAAATGGATATTCATATATTTGGGTTTTGCTAAAGAGGACATTTAATATTTAACTTTGTTAGATGACAAGGTAATTTCAGGTATTTCAAATAAGGCTTAAATAGAACAAAATATACTGTAAATATTATTTAAAAATTAGTTACAAATTTGGCAACTAAATAAAGTAAATAACTTAAAGTATAAATAGAATATAAAAATAGAATATAAAACATATATATACTAGTGAAAATGTGAAAAGCACATACAATTATGAAAACTAAAATGAAAACATATATATATATATATATATATGTTCATTTTAATCGTTAGCAGCGCAAAGGGTCGTGGGAACACACATACTGGTAAAAAATGTATAGCCTGAATGCACTGTAAGTCGCTAAAAGCGATATATATATATATACATATATATATATATATACATATATATATATATACATACATACATACATACATACATATACACTACCGCTCACAAGTTTGGGATCAGTAAGACTTGTAATGTTTTTTTAAAGAAGTCTCTTATGCTCATAAAGGCTGCATTTATTTGATCAAAAAAACAGTAATCTGGCAAAATTATTACAATATAAAATAATGGTTTCTATTTTAATATACTTTAAAATATAATTTATTCCTGTGATGCAAAGCTGAATTTCCATCAGCTATTACTCCAGTATAAAGTGTCACATGATCCTTCAGAAATCAGTCTAATATGTTGATTAATTATCAGTGCTGGAAACAGTTGTGCTGCTTAATATTTTTTTGGAACCTGTGATACTTTTTCCCAGGATTTCTGATGAATAAAAAGTTAAAAAGAAGAGCATTTATTTAAAATAGAAATATTTTCTAACAATATACACTACCGTTCAAAAGTTTGGGGGTCAGTACATTTTTATTCTTTCTTTTTTTGAAAGAAATTAAAACTTTTATTCCGCAAGGATGTGTTAAATTGATAAGAAGTGATAGCAAAGATTTATATTGTTAGAAAAGGTTTATATTTTGAATAAATGCTGTTCTTTTTTACTTTTATTCATCAAAGAATCCTGAAAAAGTGTCGCAGTTTCCAAAAACAAATTTGGCAGCACACCTGTTGCCAACAATGATAATTCTAATAATAAATCAGCATATTAGAATGATTTCTGAAAGATAATGTGACACTTTAGACTGGAGTAAATGGCTGATGGAAATTCAGCTTTGCATCACATAAATAAATTATGTTTTAAAGTATAGTAAAATAGAAACCATTATTTTATATTGTAATAACTTTTTGCAAGATTACTGTTTATTTTCTGTATTTTTAATCAAATAAATGCAGCCTTGATGAGCATAAGAGACTTGTTTAAAAAACATTACAAGTATTACTGATCCAAAACTTTTGAGCGGTAGTGTATGTATGTATGTATGTATGTATGTATGTATATATATATATATGTATATATAGTGGGGAAAAAAAGTATTTAGTCAGCCACCAATTGTGCAAGTTCTCCCACTTAAAAAGATGAGAGAGGCCTGTAATTTTCATCATAGGTATACCTCAACTATGAGAGACAAAATGAGAAAAAAAAATCCAGAAAATCACATTGTAGGATTTTTAAAGAATTTATTTGCAAATTAAGGTGGAAAATAAGTATTTGGTCAATAACAAAATGTAATCTCAATCTCAATTGTTATATACCCTTTGTTGGCAATGACAGAGGTCAAACATTTTCATGCAGCCTTGATGAGCATAAGAGACTTGTTTAAAAAACATTACAAGTGTTACTGATCCAAAACTTTTGAGCGGTAGTGTATGTATGTATGTATGTATGTATGTATGTATGTATATATATATATATGTATATATAGTGGGGAAAAAAAGTATTTAGTCAGCCACCAATTGTGCAAGTTCTCCCACTTAAAAAGATGAGAGAGGCCTGTAATTTTCATCATAGGTATACCTCAACTATGAGAGACAAAATGAGAAAAAAAAATCCAGAAAATCACATTGTAGGATTTTTAAAGAATTTATTTGCAAATTATGGTGGAAAATAAGTATTTGGTCAATAACAAAATGTAATCTCAATCTCAATTGTTATATACCCTTTGTTGGCAATGACAGAGGTCAAACGTTTTCTGTAAGTCTTCACAAGGTTTTCACACACTGTTGCTGGTATTTTGGCCCATTCCTCCATGCAGATCTCCTCTAGAGCAGTAATGTTTTGGGGCTGTCGCTGGGCAACACAGATTTTCAACTCCCTCCAAAGATTTTCTATGGGGTTGAGATCTGAAGACTGGCTAGGCCACTCCAGGACCTTGAAATGCTTCTTACGAAGCCACTCCTTCATTATATATATATACAATTAAAAATGTACCTCTAGACTCTAGACTAAAGCTAGAAGTTGTGAAAAAATTAATAATAATAAAACAGAGGAAAAAGGGATGTAAAATAATTGATATATATTAAGAAAATTTTCCATTTGACACATTTACCATTTTCTGTTCGACACATTTTAACTAATGTCACATTTCCACGGAAGACTATATGGGTCATTTTCAAGGATTGAGATGTGAGCTAATTGTGAACTGAGTGTAAACTGTTCACTATGTATTTCTGTGTACATTCATGAGCACACACATTTGTGTCTGCCGGTCTATAGGCTGGGAGCCATTCATCGAGCCTTGGCCATGTTTCCTGGATTGGCAGCGACAGGCGGCAGGCCGGCTCCATCCTCCTCGCCTGAAGATCGGAGTTCGAGCCAAGCAGAGGCTGGATGTCAACATCACCTCGGTCTTACTGGGTACATAGTCTGGGTCAAACACACTCATAGGCCTCCATGCTTTTCTCTAACTGTTTGCTTCCATATTTATGAGTGGTATGTTAATTTTGACACTCTGCTGTGGTCTGTCGTTCTGACAAACAGAGCAGTACAGCACCACCAAGACTTCGTGGTTAGCAGATTACTGCAAGGAAGACGAGCAGTCGCCACAGTCCTCCGCCGCCTTGTCTTGGATGGGATCATCAGTGGACCCCCCCTCCTTTGGCCAGAGTGAGTAACAGCCGTTTGCTTAACCTGCACTTTCTTTCAGCTCTTAAAAAAAAGATTAACTGCACTGCAACACTGTGTTACATATTTGCTTACATTAGAGCTTAATACACCTTATCCATAATTTTTCAAGCTGAAGGGTGTAAATTTTGCACCACAAGTGTCACCATATGTACATTATTGTTCAAAAGTTTGGAGTCAGTAAGAATAATTTTTTTTTTTTTACATGTCTCTTATACTCACCACAGTTGCATTAATTTGATTAATAATACAATAAAAACAGTAATATTGTGAAATATTATTGCAATTTAAATTAACTGTTTTCTATTTAAATACATTTTACAGTTTGATTCATTCCTGTGACGTCAAAGCTGAATTTTAATCAGAAATCATTCTAATATGCTGTTTTGGTGCTCAAGAAACATTTTTATTATTATTATTATCAATATTGAAAACAGTTGTGCTGCTTAATAGTTTTGTGGAAACCATTTTTCTGTGTTCTTTGATGAATAGAGAAATCAAATGAACAGCATTTATTTGTGATACAAATCTAGTTTCAAATGTCTTTACTGTCACTTTTGATCAATTTAATGCATCCTCACTAAATAAAAGTATTAATTTCTATTTTAAAAAAATTACTGACCTTTTGAACGGTAGTGTAATTACAAAGATACTGATTATCAAACAGGGGTCCCATACACTCTTTGTGTCGGTCACTGGTCAGACAAACCTGAGAAATCAACCTACAGAACATTTTTTTTTATTGTTGTCTCTACATTTTAAGCTAGGATGGTAGGATAGTATTTTAACATCAAAACACTTCACAATCACACACTTCAGTTTTAGACAAGTTAATGTTGAATGGTTTGAAACTGTAAATCCATCAAATAAATGTATTTTCAAATAAATAACCGTTTAAATCAGGTTTATTTCTTTTGAATATAAACATAAATCTTAATATCATTTTGAATTGGTGACTAACAATGAGCTGTTTTCAAAGTGTTTGTAAGATAAGACCACAGCATATACTCTCATGATGTGTGCGTCTCATTCTACCCTTCTCTTTGACCGTATGCGTCTCCCCTCTTCCCACAGACTCCTAGCATGTATCTATCTCTTCTCTTTTCCCTAACCCTTTCTCTCTGCTGTCAGGTCTTCCTCTTGCCTACCTTAGAACTAGAAGCTCTACCAGCTTGACTTGTCTCGAGCAGCAGATTCATGCCCGAGGTACAGTTCATAGATGCGCAGCCAACTATAGAGAAGTCAGAAGATCGTGTTTGGTGTCATAGAGCTTAGGATAGCCTCGTTCTCTGAGTTCTCTAACCCTAACCCTTCATTTACCCTGTCCCTTAACCTACAACCATATATATTAAACCTGTTTTGTGTTAAATGGTAGTTTCTGATGCCATCTTTTTCTTTAAATCATGCTTTCTTATTACAGAGTTAATGAATGTGTTGTATAATTGTCACTGATTAATGAAAGCCTGTGGCTTATTTTATATTCATGCCATTGTTTCAGCGGATATGAAGCTCTCCAAGAGGAGACAACCATTTGTGCCCTATGCCTTACGTAACCATACTGGATGCACTATGTTGTTTGCTACTCTCACTACCACACCAACCAGGTCAGAAGAACGCATATATTATTCCTACAATATTCAGCTGCATTTAATAGTTTGTAAAAATGCAAGGTGGTTCTGCTGTGTCCACAGAGTGGCGCTGTCTCACAGCAGTAGTGCTGACTCCATATCTGATGTGCATGGGCCTGGGACCGACGATACGCACAACATCAGCCAGTGGAGAGAGGTGCTGCCAGGGGAGGAGATCCCATTTGAGTTTGAGGCCCGGGAGAAACTGAGACACAGGTAGAAGAGGGTGTCTCTTTCATAAATACAATTGGCTTTGAATGTGCTAGCGTTGGACACCATTGTTTATACTTGCTTTCTCATGAGAATTTCAGGCATTTTTTTTCATACAAAGTGACTTATAGACAATAGCTTCATGGCAAACTTTCTGGAGAAAACCTGGCTTTAGTGCCATGCTCAGGGGCACAGTTATAATAGAAATGAATAGTAACTACAGCGGTTCTCCAACTCTGGGATTGTTCATAGCTTAGAGGTTATGACTTCTTGATCCCAGGCGAAATGATGCAGAAGCTGTGATGTTACAAAAATCACGGTCCTGCTCGACCTCGACCCAGGAGGTACAAAGCAGATCTACCGCCAACCAGGTCACACCATCTATCTGCTGCCCACCCTGGTGCTGGCCAACCTTCTTCCCTGTGACCTTAACTACTACATCAAAGGGACCTCAATCAAGGGAACCATGAAACCAGGCAAAGAGGCAGTGCTGCATGCAGCAGACACGTCACAAAATCTAGAATTAGGTGAATTGGAGTACATGATAATTTATCACATATTTAACATAAGTTGCTTTACTAATCCACATTTCTGTTGACATAAAGCATCATGAGTTTGCTATTTGTTCTTAGGTGTGCTCCTGGAGAACTTTCCTATGTGTAAGGAGCTGCTCATCCCTCCCGGTACACAAAACTATGTCGTGCGCATGCGGTTATATGATGTCAACAAACGGCTGATCTGTCTCACCATACGGATTGTTCTCAGAGCCCATGGAGCATTAAAAATCCTCATCTCTGCTTCCTATTGGCTTGTCAACAAGACTGGTATGCTTTCAGATCTATGCATTGACTATAGATTGATGATATGAATTCAAAACCTTATCCGAACACAACTGTGCTGCACCACATCTGTAATATTTCCATTGATTATTGTGTCTGCAGGGCTGCCTCTGATCTTTCGCCAGGACAATGGGAAAACGGATGCCGCTGGGCAGTTTGAGGAGCATGAGTTAGCCAGGAGTTTGAGCCCATTGCTCTTTTGCTACACTGACAAAGAGCAACCCAATATGTGAGTGCAAGAGAAGGGGAAAATCCAAAGAATTCTTATTGTGTGTTCCCACCATCCCCACTCATCAAATGCTTTTATATATCTTATTTAATTAGCCTGCATAAATTCCACCACCATTTTATTCATTTATTATATCATTTATTAATTACTCAACATAGCAGAAATGTAATTTAACTACATAATTAACCTTTATTCCTTTAAAGCTCTCTAAAGTCTTGTCCTTTTTGAACAGGTGCACCATGCGGATCGGTAAAGGGATCCACCCAGATGGTGTTCCAGGATGGTGCCAAGGTTTCTCTCTGGATGGGGGGAGTGGAGTGAGAGCAGTTAAAGTCATCCAGCATGGTAACAGACCCGGACTCATCTACAATATAGGTAATAAGGAATGCCTTTCCTGTTTTAAGATAAGCATCTGTGAAATCCATTTGATTTTTTCCCCAAATTCCGTTTTATTTTTTTCTCAAATTTAGGTTTTTCCGTTTTATTTTTTCTAAACTCAGTTTTAATGTTTAAATTAAAATTTATTGTTTAATTAATTGAAATCATGAAACGTACACAATTTAACAGCAATTTATTAAAAGTTTGACAAAAATTGCAATTTTATGGCCCTATGAAATGCATTTTTTTTTCTCAAATGTTTTATTTTTACCAAATTCTGTTTTCCAATATTTTTCTTGATTTCATTTTAATGGTTTCATTACATTTTAATAATCAAAAGTATCTCTAAATAATCGATTTGATTTAAAAAAAAAACTAATTTATTATTATTATTTATTTTTATTTTTTTTTCAGAAATACTATGCTTTGTGTTTACATTTTTCTGGTAAATACATTTTCTGGTAAATATTCCTTGAAAATAATGTTTTAATAATTTCATTTTTAGTAGTAGTACTGTCATTACATTCAGTAATATATTTCTGTCACGGTTTCTTTAAGTTAAACCAAACTTTTATTTTGATGGTTGCTGTGACAGTTGCAGTTTGTATATGATGTGACGTTTTGACGTGCTCATGAAGTAACTCTCAGAGCCGTTCTAGAGATTATGTTTATGTACTCATATATTGGGGCGGCGGAGGCTGAAAACATGTCATGCGTGCTTCAGAATGTGTGTAGTAAACTAAATTCACATTTATTCACATGGAGACACGGAGAACATGCAGGATTCATATTTAAATATTGTTTTTGCAGCTTAATATTCACAGACACTAGTCCATAGCGTTATACAGTAATTTCCCTTTCTATGACTGGATTCTACAATTCCGTCCGCATTTAGCTCCAACTAACACACCTCGCTGGATGTTTCTAGTAATTGAAGACACTGATTAGATGGTTCAGGTGTGTTTTATATCAAAATCTGCAGGACAGTGGCCGCCCAGAAGCAGGAGTAGACATCACTGTGCTAAGTTGATGTAATAATATAACGTAATGTCTCATTATAGGAATAAATGTGAGAAAAGGGAAAGGACGTTATCGTGACACACACATTGTGACCTTTGCTCCACGATACCTGCTTGACAATCGATCATCTCACAAGTTAGCCTTTTCTCAGCGGGAATTTGTCAGAGGAAAGGTGGGAATGCATGTTTTCATTGTGTTTGTCATTGTGCTATGTTTTAGATATTCCTAATAAAAGACACAGGATAATAACTGATAACATTTTGTTTGCTTGTAGGGTACTGCAAATCCAGAGGGATATATCTCCACCCTGCCAGGCTCTAGTGTTGTGTTCCACTGGCCCAGAAATGACTACGATCAGCTTCTCTGTGTCCGTCTCATGGATGTTCCCAACTACACCTGGTCTGGAGGTTTTGAGGTCAACAAGCCTAAATCCTTCCACATCAACATGAGGTACCCAGTGCCACCAAATATGCTCTAGAGATAGTTGAACAGAACAGAAAATGACTTAGAGAGGAGTTCTCAATTTCATAGACATTTTTCCTCTCATTATGTGTTCCATAGGGACACTTTGGGAAACTGCTTCTTCCTCCGAGCTGAGATTGCTTTGAAAGGGGCAACATATCAAATCTCATTCAGTGACACTGACCAGCTGCCCCCACCCTTCCGTATAGATAACATCTCTGAGGTAAGTCCTTAGAGGGTACACATTATCAAGTATTGTAAGGCTGTAGAACGGTTCAGAAGATTTTAGAATAAAGAGTATCACTAAGATGGTTGGGAATATGACCTAGCCAGGAACTCAGGTCACCCACGGGCATCACAGCTCAATTTGTCAAAGCACATGAATAAGAATGCAGTGCTAACCACAGTCTCAACCTAAATCATATAAGATATTGGGGTGCGCCTCTTTCATTTCAGAAATTTCAGTTTTGCTTAAGGGAGACTTGGTTTCTGGTTGTGCCTCTAACTTCTTAAAATAAACATTATTATTATTATAGAAAATATGTCCTTTCAGTGTTCAATTCTGGACACCATAACATGTATGAAAGAGTAGGCATAAAGCACATTCTTCTTAAAAGGTGTACTTGTAATTAATATTAGCCTGTTATTTGGGGTTTAATTGGGTATCTGCAGGTGTGCACATTTTCCCTCACCTTCTTCCGACCCCTTAGCCAGATTTCCCGTCATTTGATCTGTTGGTGGTTTTGAATTTACTGAGCGAGACACCATTCTAGCCATTATAAAAGGTGGATATAAAGCTTTTGTCACACAAAATAGCTCTTTTACTCCCTCTGGCATGACTTAAGCAATCGATTCATCCGTCAAGCATTGAATTCACACCTGACAGCTCTGCATCCGGTGGTTTCTCTGTCTCACTGCTGCCCTTACATTAAAAACAGATCTTTTTTTTGATCTGCTAATGATTATTATGGGTAGACATTTAGCTGCTTCTTTGGTGTGGGTCTTGATATTAAACAACAAAATGTTGGTTGGTGCTGGGATTAGACACATTCTCAGTGATTTATCTTGGAGTCTTTGGGTGTTTCAGATCTTTCATCATCAAACATCAATCTAGACTACCCAGCTGAGGATGATCAAACTTCTGTTTATGCTCTAGCAGCAATATCACACAAATCCACTCCAGAGCCTACATCCAGAAGATAGAAATATCCTACATCTAGTTGCAAGCACCTTGCTCTACTGTCACTGACAATATGTGCCTCTCCACTCATTGGCCTACTCTAAAAGCGCTGTGAGCTCCTGCGTTATTCCAGCATCATCATCTGGATCTTCCAGGTCCAAAGATGGTCTTGCCAACATTTTGAGAGAAATTCTGTTGTTTTCCCAGCTCCATTGTCATCTTCCATTTCTGCCATGTTGTTTGTTTTATTCAAGCTGGTGGATAGCTTTGAGAATTTTGTACCAGCTTATTGTAGCATTTGCACATTTTCTCTGCAGACTTCTCCATAATACATGTCCTCTTTACTTCAGGTGCCTATCCAGTTCTGGCAACATGGAGTGGCTGATATCAGGCTACACACAGAGGTAAAACCTGGGGCGGTTCTGGACTATGCCTGCGACGAACCCATTTTTCAACCCTACATCACCCTCACTGTGAAGGGAGCTGGATCCTCAGAGGTTACTGCTGACATGAACTTCTTCAGAGAATACAACAAGCTCTACTATGAGAACTTCATCTACATTGCTGCATCCTTCACATTCTCAGAGTGAGTTCTCAACCTCTAAACTTCCAAATAGCTCACTAATCTTTGAAACTGACCAATTTCAAGCAGACAACTTTCCACTGGCAGTCGCACTTGCGTATTACATATGTTTGTAAATATAAGTAAATATTCACTTGATTTGATAACAGAGATGCAGGAAAGAGGCCAGTGGGGAGGAAACGGGTGGTCAGCTGTGCTGAACTGGTGCTGGATGTGGAGACAAAAACACAAAGAGTCATCCTGAAGAAAAAGGTCTGCTTATGTTCTTCCGACGCCATCTGTCTGCCAGTTTCTCATTATAGTTTGTTCTCAAAGGTTCTCACATTTCTTTATCTGTTCAGGAGCCTGGAAAGCGCTCCCAGCTTTGGCGGATGACGGGAACAGGAATGCTCTGTCATGAGGGCTCATCTCCTCCACAGAGCAAACCTTCTCAGCCTCGACCCCTCAGTTCATCTTTAGTGCTTGACATTGCTGGACTGGCTGCAGTGACAGACAACAGGTTACCTAACTGCTTCATAGCACAACAAAGGACAACTTGTGCCGTCTTATTTTAAGCTTGTTCTTGTTCATGTAGAGAGTAAACATTATCATGGTGTGCGGATGTCATTTCTCACATATCTTGTATTTCTTTTTTAGCTATGAGCCTCTAATGTTGAGACGGCCAGACTGCCGCCGCAGCACCACCCAGACATGGCACTTTAGCTCTGGCATGTTGACCTGTGGTTTACCCAGACTAGTCGTCCAGGTCTGTCCTTATTTCATCTGATTTTTTTGCTCCTCAATGGCTATTTTCAGTATTAAACAATCTGTGGCTCTTTAAAAAGCTGTTTGTGGTGTTTTAGGTAAGAGGGGGAGTTTCTGGACTATATGATGGTGCTGAGGTGGTACTGGGACCAGACTCTGGTGTTTTGGAACCGTTACCAGAGCAACAGTTCATCAACCAGAAAATGAGGCCTGGCTCAGGGGTTCTGTCTATACAAGTCCTGCCTGATGGGCCAACGCGAGTATTGCAGGTAAGACACCCCGTTGTTATTAGGGTAAGACACTCTCATTGTTATTGAAGGACATGGTTGGGGTAGCATGCCATCTGAAACCATATGAAATGGACTTGGTTCCTGTCTTTCTTTCACACTTTCTAATATAATAAGAAGCTGCATACCTCATTTCAGATCAGTGACTTCAACCAACGGCGCGTGAATAGACCCTCTCCCAGCACAGAGGAAGACCAGAATAAAGAGAGCGCTCAGAAGAAAGTTCCTGAGGAGGAACTTGAGGTAAAAACCATGTTTCTGATGTAGCATTTTGCCTTGACTGTGTTTCCAGTGAAAATAGAATTTGCACAGAGTTCACAAATATTGACCTTGGAAGTTAAGATTAACACCCTAATTCATGCCTTTGTGTGTAGGTGTTGGTGAACCTAGAGGAAGGAGTGGGCCTGTCACTGGTAAATAAGCTTCCTGAAGAGCTCGTTTTTGCCACTCTGTCTGGCATTGATGTGCACTTCATCCGTACCACTGCCAGCCAGGTGCTAGAACTTACAGTGAAAGACATTCAGGTAAGCAGCCACAGACCAAAACATACTTCTTCAATGTGTGAGAATTTCCCACTTTGGATTAGGGAAGGGTCAAGATGGTTGACCGGTTAGTAAGATTGACTATCGAAATTTTTTGCTCATCTGCCATATTTTTGACCATCAGCTAGGCAAATTGATGGCTGTTAATACAAAAAAACCTCAACATTTGATGTTTGATTCATACCAGGTCCCAGAAAACACTTTTATGGATAGAACTGTTAGTACATTGGATCTCTATTAGTAGATTTAGTAGTCCCTACTAAAGACCATTCGTGGACATTTATGTATATATTTAATGTGCAATCCATGTCTTTATACCGCCGTTCCTCGTATATGGGCACTACATACAAGGATGGATTGTGGGTGTGCTGACTTAGCAGCCTTCAATAAAGTTCTGACAGAAATATCTTTATTTTCTCATCTATTTCAGGTGGACAACCAGCTCCTGGGCACCACTCATCCTGTTATGCTGTGTGTGGCTCCAAGCTCCAGTGAAAGTTCTGCAGTGGACTCAGGCCCTGCTTTGCAGGTCAACTCTGTTAAAGTGCCCAGCAGTCTTATGCTCACAGATCTTTATAAGGTGAAACCAATTTATGGACTCACTTTGTCTCCAAAAAATGCTTCAGGCATATCTGTATATCTTCTTTTGTCTACAGGAGTTTGATTATAGATTTTACTCTCTGCCTTACAGCATCTGATGGTCACAGCCCGCCGCTATACTGTCATCATTGAGGAGAAGCTCCTAATGAAACTGCTCATATTCTTTGGCTACGGTCAGGCAGAGGGAGGTGTGTAGTGGGTATCCCTCTGATGTGCAGTATGGGGAATGCACCTTATGATTCTCTGCTAAGTACTGTACATGATTTTGTGTTTTAGAGGTGGAGAAGCTGGATGAGAACCTTTATGAGAAAACCAATGACGATGCAGGAACTCCAAAGCGTTATTATTTTGAGAACTTGAAGATCAGTCTTCCTCAGGTCAAGCTGAGTGTCTTCACCTCTCACAAGTTACCCCCTGACCTGAAGGTACAAGAGCCACAGTAGAATCAGCTGGAGTACTGTCAGTTCTTCACTGGATGCAGTTCTGTTGTATGAAGTTTATGAAGTGGTCTGTAGCATAATCAAATGTTGTTCTGCACAGGCTTTGAAGGGAGCCCTTGGGTTCCCACTCATTCGTTTTGAAGATGCAATCATTAACATGTACCCTTATACTCGAGTCCATCCCTATGAGACGCAGGAGATGATCATCAGTGACATCCTCAAGCACTTCAAAGAGGTCTTAAACATTCTTCTTTCTTAATTGTTATATTTACTTTACATTTTTACGCTATATGTTACGGTATAAGTTCTCAATGGTTGCATCACCACTGTGTGATTTCATTAGCTCTTGGTCTTACGTCTACTTTCTTTGTTTTTTTTTTTTGTAGGAGCTTATCAGCCAGGCAGCTCAGATCCTGGGTTCAGTGGACTTCCTGGGTAATCCCATGGGCCTACTGAATGACGTTACTGAGGGTATGAATGAACTTATCAAGTACGGCAACGTTGGAGGGCTCATCCGCAGTGTTACACATGGTGTTTCCAACTCAGCTGCCAAGGTAGTCAAAGTTCGCATTCTTACTGTCATCTTCACCAGTCTGTCTGGCAATGCATGATTCTCAATTACTGAAGTATTTCACAGGGTTATTTTGCCATATTATTCCCAAATGTATGACATATGATAAAGTTTATCTGTTCAGCTGCAAAGTACCAGAGCAGTAACCACAAGACAGGGATTCACTGGGTGCAAGGCCAAGTCATAATGAGAAAAAAAAAGAGAACGAATTGTCCTCTGTGATCGGGTCTGTTCAAATGTAAATTAGAAGCTGAAGTTGTTTATTTCTCAGACTTCTTATTGAATATGTTTTTGAAGAACCGTCCAAGCAGTGTGCCTGAGCAGGAACACTAGAACAAGCCACATGTTGTCATTTGATGATTTCCAGGAAAAGAATGGGAACAGCATTGAAAGGTCAGATGCACATGATCTTCACCAGCAAAGCAATCTGACCTGATTTTCATCCTAATATGCAATGGAGAGATGAAGGTTCAGCAAGTTTATTAGTTTTGCTCTCCTTGTGTAAACGGGCAGGTTTCTGCATGTTTACAGAATCAGGGAATACGAGCATTTAATTATTTCGTCAGCATAAAAGTTGAATATCAGCCCTGGAACATTCTCATGTGCGTTGTACGTTTGTGAGGCTCTTGGTGTTGAGCTTGAGCAGATGGACTCTGATTAATGAGCTTAAAAAGCTAATTTGCTCATGGCACTAGTGTATGAATGTGTATACTCATGTGGCTACAGTTGTGTGTGTGGTCAGACCTGAGCCTACACTTCATGTCCTGCAGCCAGCTCTCAGCATGTCTGTCTGACAGTCCGTTGTGCCACGTCCTTCATTGGCAGCCAGCTCACTGTCAGACAGGGCTTTGTGTACTTTTCCCTCTGTCCGCTCCCTCTGTGCTCTCATTTACTTTCCTTCCAGCCACACTGGCCAAGCTCATGCCAAAAGTACTCATAGAATGGGACAACACTAGGTCTCAATCAGCAATCTTTCACATTCACACTTGACCCTTTCTCATTTCACTTTGCTGCTTTTTTTTAGCTAAGGTGAGTTGGTTTAAATATGCTCATCATACTACTACAGTAATTTTAGAATAGACTTTGGAGCAAAATAGATTTTCAAAATAGGTTGGAGTAACAGTCCATTTCTTTGACTTCAGCTCATCTGTTGCTGTAGTATCTTTTAAGGTCTTTCTAAATAACCCACTGAACTGCTGAAGAAATGCTTAGGTTTACCAAAGAAAAACAAATCCTCTCTATGTTGGCTGCTTTTTTGCCACTAACTCAATTTCAAAAGTATAAACAAATTATTACTCCCCCTGGAGAACTTCCAGCAGCTTGAATAAAAATGCTTTGCCAAAATCATCCACCAACTGTATAAGGCTCCATGTCGTGCTGCTTGAGGTGGAAAAACTTTAATGAAAGATATAAAAGGCATTTGAGAGCTTTGGTTTGATCAAGTGCCTAGAAAGCTTGAGTTTACTGAATTTGCAAAGATTACCATTAGTTTTTGTAACTTATGTCAGTGGCCACCCAGAATTTATGTGCAGTCCTCAAGAATTCTCTGTTGTTAGTTTTACCTTTATGGGGGCCTGGACCTTTCTTAATAGGCATTTTAGTTAAAGCATGCTCTGTTGACTGCAATGTGCCTGTGCCTTTAACATTTTCCAGTGTTTTTTTTTTAAATAGTGCCTATAATTTAAAAATGCATTTGAATTCATATTCAGCAGTGTCTTCAGCAAAGCTTCAAGCTTATTTTTCCATCACTGTTTCATGTTTCAAAGCAACTCTCACTGTGAACAGGATTTACCTTTTATTATCAGTTTATAAAATTGTTCTCATCTGTCAGACCACTTTATGATGATCACACCATGGTTTTCATTCCTTTACATCTTCTTTCTCACATGCAGACACACTGACTGAAACACATTCTTGCACACCTCTAGGGGCCCTGCTTTGAGATAGGATGGTCTAATGGCTCAAGCAGGGGTGGTGTGAGGGGCCATAAACTTGAAAGTGTTCTGATCCTCCTCTCCCTCCCGCAAGCTCATATCTGGTAAATGTATTGGTATAATTTCACAGCCAAGCTTTTTTTTTTTTTTTTTTCACAAAAAAAAAGGAAGAGAGTAAGAGAGGGAAGCAGAAGAGGAGGAGGAGCAGAGAATCTGAGCTGGCCTTCAGATGAACTCACCAGGGACTTTGCTTAGAGGGGTCATTCCAAGTTCATGCCTGGCTTTCGATTGAGTTCTGCAGAATGTGCCTGTGTTTATAAAGTGCTCCGGCTGCAGTAGGGAGCTCACTGGGCCTGTAACACAAACTCCCTTCTAGGAGGCACCTGCAGGGGACCTGAGGGGGGCCACACTGGGCAAAGTCAGGTCAAATGTGCCAAGAGGGGAAAGCGCCACCCCATTAGACAAATTACAGCCTGATATATTTGACAGCTGGATGAGATGGTGTGTAAAATCAATTATCTGTAAAATCGCTGCGTATCCTCATAGCTCAGCAATGGAAGTTTTTGAGAACAATGGTGGTTGCCCAGAATATGGCACCTTGCAAATAATGTTTCCATGTTCAGTGACTGTAAGATATTAGAAATTAATGTTTCATGAACTCACAGAAAAGTTGAATAGTTGATTTTCATTTATTTTGTTTGACTGTAGTCTATAGTATAAACAGTTGAAGAACTACATGAACTTTTGGAGAAAATGAAATGGGAACCACAATAAGTCATGGATGTGTCCTAAAGTAGACAATCCACTCCTTAAGGTCACTGCAGGCAGTTTACTCCTTAGGGTCACTGTGGGGGGGCTTTCACTAACTGAAAAGGCCAGTGTCAGCAACTGTTGGCTGACATTATAAACCCAGGACACACCAAGTCGACTTCAAAGTACTAGCGGCAACAAAAGCCAACAGTGTTGTCACCTTGAATTGGCTGCGTCTGGACCAAAAATCTGTTCTTGAACACGCACAGACTACATCCGACTGCAAACAAGCACGTGCGTTCTGCGCCTGTGTATAGAAATTAACTTTCTATATCAGCGTGTATCAGTAGTCTATATTAGTCATTCAAAAGGAGAAAACATAAGAATATACGAGAAATAACTAGCCCGACAGATTTTGGCCAATGGCTGACTGTCAGCTTGGTATGTCCTGGCATTTAAATGACAAATTCTTTATAAATGTATTTCATACCACATGTGGTTTGGACTGAATTGTTTGCTTGTTGGTACAGTAAACTTAATAATATTGCATAATTATTGTATTGTCTTATTTTTAGATTGAGGTTTCATTATTAATTTAAGTGATAATGGTCTATCCAGTATAATATGATAACTGTCTGTGCAGTTTGCAGGTACCTTATCAGATGGATTGGGCAAGACAATGGACAATCGCCATCAGACTGAACGAGAGTGCATTCGCTATCATGGAGCAACCAGCGGAGAGCACCTTGTGGCGGGGATTCATGGTCTTGCTCATGGTACATGAGAATATTTGCATTTTAAATGCTCAATATTCAGGCACTTTATTGTACCATGATTTGTCCACTCATATCAAACTAAACCAACTTGCTGTTTCACACTCAATGCTGTATAGGCATAATTGGCGGTCTGACCAGTGTGATAACATCAACAGTGGAGGGGGTGAAGACTGAGGGAGGTGTCGGTGGATTTTTCTCTGGTCTGGGGAAGGGACTGGTCGGCACAGTGACAAAACCTGTGGCAGGAGCCCTGGATTTTGCCTCAGAAACAGCACAAACTGTCCGAGACATGGCCAGCCTAAGCAACAGGTATTTTCTTTTCTCAACTATGTATTCAGGTTATTTTTTCTATTATGGAAGAGGATGACAGAAAAAATTTAGATTAATGCTTTATCCGTGGCCTTCTGCATGGCCCTTTTCCAACTACAGTGTGCCAGAGCCTGTCCCCAAACTGGAATAGAAAACAGCATACATTTAAAAAAAAAAAAAAAAAAAAGCAGCAAATCATTCTGGCAAGAGTGATGAAAAACAAGACTTTGGAAACGATGCAGTAATGTCACATTGCACAGCAGCTCCAGTCACTTAATTTTCAATGACTGTCTAAAATTATTCAAATTTTGTTGGAATTTATTAATATACATTTTTTTTGTTATATCTTATGAACATTGCATCACATGCAGCTTGTGATTGCATTAAATTACTTAAAACTACTAACATTAGAAGTGTTAAACAAAGACCATAATGCACCATGTTTGTAGTCATGCAGTCAGTGACATCATTGTTCTGCTGGACATCAGTGGCGTAAATCATCTAGTTGAGCAATGGCTCCAGCACAAGAACCATCACCATTTCAGTGGATAAGGGGTATCTGTGGTTCAATGTTTATTGCTCTTACTACTTTGCAGAGCCTTCGTGACCTCTCTGTTGATGTGCCCATAAATCCCACCTGTCTTTTGATGAGTTTAGCTTGTGGCAATCCAAGCTCTACACTAATGAGCACCTGCTAATGATCCAAAGCACAGTCCAAAACTGTTCCGAAAAACTTGCCTACTGTTTTAAGAGCAGCCTTCAGGGTCTCACCTTCACTTCATCCTCTAAAACCAGCAGCTCTACCTGAGGTTTTATGAGGGGGCCCAAAAGCTAGTCATATTACACAGGCTGTCTGGTATGTAAAGCCATTTGTTCTTCATTTGCCTATGTATATGTGCAGCAAGGAGTGTTTGTGGTTTTACTGCTCCAACTGGAGGAGGAATGAGTTTCCGGTCCTCACACCATTCCCCTTGAATGGAGAGAGGCCGTGTGTGTGTGTGTGTGTGTGTGTGTGTGCGCGGAAAAGGGACCTGCTGGTGAACTGTGCAGTGAAGAGCTGGGGGAGTTTAAGGGAGAGGCATTCGGAGCGTGCCTGCCACAGTTCGGCCAAGAGTTCAGCCAGAGTTCACACAGTAAATGTGCAGGATTCGTGGGTTTCAGCGAACACAGTCTGACCCAGCTATTACATGTTCTCAATAACACATTCTCAGGTAGCACTTCTGCACCAAATCTTCACATGTGCTCTGTTTTCAAGGATCAATTTCTATGCATCAACAACCGGCCATGGTGATTCCCAGTTGAGCTTTCTTCCCTTCCTTTCTGAAACGTTCATGATATTTCCCACATTTTGCACGTTCTCTTGCAAACACTTGTCAGTAGTGTCAAACACTTGACTGTAGTGACAATGAAATGATGTTTGTCTCCTGCTGGTCAGGAATATGTTATTATTATGTTATATTATACATAACCTCTAAGATTGCAAACAGGAAATAAAGAAGTAAATGAGAAGCAGACTGTAGCAAGGTCAGGATTAGTGGAAGTGTCCGCTTCTTTTTGCTCTCCTGCCCTGCTAGTGAACTCAGCCTCCCACATCAGTTCCCCGGACCCCAGATCCCCCCCCCTTGCTCTCTCTCTCTCACACACACACACACACACACATAACATACACCATTCCCAACTGCACTATGCAATCCAGGCAGGCTTCCAGAGGCAGCTCAATTACAATTTCAAAACAAAGGCAAAGAAGTGCTGGGGGTTGGCCTGGGGCAGCAGTAGGGGCTCAGACTTTGACTGAATAAGTACCCTGTTCCCCACCTTTAGCTGTCAGTTCAGCTTGGAAAAGCATGCATTTTCTATTACTCCAAGCTTTATTAAAGAAAGTCCCTCATGTGGTTTGCCTCTTGATGTGCATTTGAATGTCACCTTTGGCAAACGCATCAAGGAGAACCTTTCTGCCTTCACTAATGTTTGGTAAACCTCAAATTCCTCCTCTGTAAAAGATGACAGTACTTGTTCTGTGGCATTTAATTGAGACAACGGAATACAACGGTGGTTTTTCTCGCTGTTGTAAAAAAGGAATGTGCATTTCTGGTAATCTTACTGTACCTGCTAATTCTAACTTGTTTTGGAATCAGCATACTAAATACAACTCGATTACACAGTTGACCCACAGTTGACCCAGTAAACCAAAGATAAGATTAGAAAAATAAGCAATATTAGTCAGCCAAGCCTGAAGCATACCAGATGAGAAAATATGATGTCTCACCACAAGTCAAGTGTGTATATTTTAGTCAGACAGATAATGTGATTGTAACTCGGCTTCGTACAGCACGTATACACTTTAATCTGATCCTGGACAGCCAATGTCCTACAGATTTTAGCGCTAACCTGCCCTAACACACTTTTCTGGAATTTCGAGTAAACTTCAAGACGTTGCTTACTGTAGGAGAGTGAGCCTCCAAGAGCAGACTTTGACACCACTGCTTTAATCAGACTACAGTTGTCCTTGCCATTGTGCACTTGCTCCAATAGACAGCAGTGACATGTAATGTGTATTCAAAAAACTCTTATCGTGTATCCTTGAGCAGACAAATGAAAACTGTTACTCAAATATGCATAAACATGCTGTAGCTTGATTACAACTGATAAACCTTTCTTTGGGGTGACAAGAGATGGTGGCCTAATTTGCCTATATTCCAGCAGGCGTGCTTTTACTGGCTATGTCAGTGGAGAACCAAGTTAAACACCTAGATACAGCAGCCTTCCACATCACGCCCACCCTCAACCCATTTTGCTCATGATCTTTCTCGGAAAGAAGCAAGAAGTAAGAGCTGTTTGTTTGCACCCATTGATGGCTGACTGGCTGGGCTCCAAGCCCTGTGCCTGACCTAGAGTTGAACCCTATTGTTCCAATCCCACAATCGGGTGCGGGGCATTGTGCTTGATCGCCTCCAGAGCAGTGGGAGCGGCTGGAGAGAGAGAGAGAGAGAGAGATTGTTTTCAATATTAAAGGCTTGATGTGAAATGCAAAAGAGGTTGCAAATGTGACCCACTTCGACCCACTTCAGATTTGGCCATCCTTGGTTATCCTTTATTCCCAGCGCCTTGCATTCTGAGTTCTTGATGAACAGAGGCAGCTGCATTCACCCGGGCTTCAGTTTAAACAGAACAGAGAAATGCAGTACACTGCCGTCTTTGTGAATCAACTGGAAACCATCAGCTCTAATCAAATGTCTGCTGGCCCAGATTCAAGCCAGATGTAGGAATTCCACTTGGCCTACCAGTGGCAGCCGAAAAGAAGAGAGGGGTTGTTTGCAGGAGAAGCAAGACCCAAGCTTTGCATTGGCACTGCAGTCTGCTGGCTAGTCCCATCAGCTTTGGCCAGGGCCACCAGAACTCTGGAGCTATCATGCCCTTCAATCACCATCGATTGAACTGTACACCTCTAACCAACACCGTGTGCTTGCAGTGGAGTGGCCATTCCAGGTCCATCACACCAGAAACCTATGGTAAGAGACTTTTGAGCTGTTAATGTCACTAGAATTTTTGTAATAGCAAATAAAAAAAACACATTACTAAATGGTGCAATACTTATGTTTGGGGATTGAATGTCCAGCAATGATGATATACCATTTCTGTATTATAAAAATACATGATTTTGGTGAAACACTTGTCATCGCTTTGCTAACTCCATTCCAAATGTCATTTGTTATTTCTCCATAGGTCCATGTGAATAGTGAGAGCCTTGCCATCAAGATTTCACAAGAAATCAATTACGCCAAGAGCCTTTACTATGAACAGCAGCTCATGCTGCCTCCCAGTGAGAATGAGGATAGCTTATTATTAGACTCTTAACTACACTGACCTGCAGGGTAGAAGGTGTTTCTCGCTCATTTTTCAACAGCTACTTCCTTTTTTCTGTTTCTGTGGAAAGACAGTAATAAATCAGCAGAGTGTGATCACCCACTTAAGCCAGTGTACGGGACATGCTCACAGCATGTGGTTTGTTCAGTGATGCAAACTAGTCTAGAGGGGCTGCTGTGAGCTCCAGCAGGCACAGATTTAACTTGAACATATGCGAGTATTTTATGTTCCTTGCAAACCTTAGCAGTATAATTAATTTTGTTTTACAATTGGTAAAATAACTGGTGTTTGTCGCTAGATGTACACGGCTATTCTGACACTGTGTATATATTTGTGTATAGATCCTCTTATGTACATAGATAGGCACAAACCAATAGGACTATATCTGCCATGTATATATAATGTTGAAAATAAGAATATGTTATGAAATTAATCTTGGGTTGCTGTACAAAACTGCCTTTAAAGAAAGTTAATTTTGCTGAGTGATCGGAGGTTGATTGAATGATTGAATTGCACTGATACAAATGTAGGAAACTTAAGCTGCTCTCTCCATTCCCTGGTGAGCCAACATTAACACAAACACAACACAGAGAATGAGTGTTGTAAATACTGTCATTGCATTTTTCACTTCTCCACATGCAGTCCACCCACAAAACATCTGTCTGACGTTTTTCTTCTACCAGTTTCTTATATTCTTGTCCTTTCTATATTCACTTTAAGGAAGGTAATGAGAAATTTGACGTGTTTACCCTTTATTTAGTTTCTAAGATCTTTTACAAGTTCAAGCTTAAGATATGAAACACTTTTAACATATTTCAACATATAAAATAATGGTGTTCTGTAGCACATAAAATAATGGTTCTCTGCCTTTTTGTGCGTACAATCAAAATGAAGATTTGTCATCTGCTATTTTCACATCACAGAGACAATAATCTACTGTACTTAATTTTCCCCCATCTCAAACACTTATTTTACTCACTGGTTTAAATTGAACAATATCAAGTAATTCATTAAGTCTCACTGAATGAAGCTATTCATTTTAAGTTGTTACAAGTTGCTACCAAAGATCAGACACTATTAATGTTTTCTCTTTTAGAGAAGTATCGTCCTCGCTTATCTTAACTGTGTACATATACTAGTCTTTCAAAATAAAATGTAGATTTTTAACTTCTGTGACCGTGCCTCTGAAAACACTGGTCAATATAATTTAGGATAATATGAACAGTACTCCTAATGTGTTTTCTAAGTTGTCTATTATTTAAATATTAATATGTTGAATACAACCCTACAAAGCTGGTTTCCTCTATAACTGCACAAATATGCAAAGTAAATATAGTGTATATTTATTTTGTTTTAATATGCAAATGTGTAAAGCAAAATAAAAGTTATGGTTTAACACAGTATTTGTAATTATTGTTTTTTTTGCGGATAATGATTAATTTGTAATATTTTGGTGTGCTTTCTTTTCTTATTATTAATGGGTCATTCTATGCAAATGTCAATTTTTTTGTCCCTAGCCTTTACAGAAATATTACACTTGAAAAACACGTTAGGGATACAATTTTTTAATATTTTAAAATGAAACAATGTGTTATTTGAACAATTACACCTTCTTGAGCCATCAATGTGGCAATATTTGTTTTTAACCACAAAACTGCTCGTCCCCACAGCCATGTACAGAGGGAAAGTGCTTTATTTTGAGGTCAAAAACAGGTTTTTCTACCATTTAAAATACAGTAATGTATTCATAACTATCAAATATAAAAAAACTAAAATGCCAAATAAATATTATAAAATATATAATGAAAGTAGTGGTCCCCTGGAGTTGTGTCACTGGTGTTACCGTTTAACAAAAATCATTTATTTTGAAATAAAAATCACACTGATGACATCACTTGACTTCCTCCTATTTCCTGAAGATCTTAAGAAAAGCCCATGTTAAGTCCACTGTCTCTTTTCAGTTATCAGAAATGTTCTCATTTATCTCATGATTTCATATGAGGCTTATAGTTGAAGTCACTGCATGACCTACGTTATTGTTCGGAAATTGTAAAAAACTAGAATACAAATGGATTAAACTACTTAATTTAGTGAGTATACCATGATTGACAACATGTGGTTTGATACCTTGCAGCAGACATTTTGTAAAATGCATTTTTCATTAAAAAAATGGTCACTGGTGTTACCTTCCTTATGGGTAACACCAGTGAAGATCAGTTTATGTTTATGTTCTTTTACTGCTTTCACTAAATGCCAAATGTAACAATTTAGTCTCCTCTAATAATTATAGTTGAAGAATAAGGATATTTGGTCTAATGTATGTCACTGGTGATTCATTGTGTCACTGGTGTTACCGTGTTTTTTTTCTATCACATTAAATAAAATGTCACATGTGGCATGATAATAATTTTACATCCAAGAAATTCTGCTACACTCAAGAGTTTAGAGATTTAAAGGATTGCATCATGTTTTTTTTAGTTTTTTTTAAATATTTTCATTGTTATAACAAATACATGGTTGCGCAAATGAACTAACATCATTCAATCACACTTTTATAAATTCTGCTACACTCAAGAGTTTAGAGATTTAAAGGATTGCATCATGTTTTTTTTTGTTTTTTTTTTATATTTTCATTGTTATAACAAATACATGGTTGCGCAAATGAACTAACATCATTCAATCACACTTTTAACAAACCTAATTAAAATAAATAAAACATAATCTCCTTATTTTTGCATTATTATTTTTCTGTAACTCTGACTACATGTGCTGAAAAAATCGAGAAATAATTTTTCATAAAAAAACTCTAAAATTGCCAAAGAAGTAAGGTAACACCAGTGACAAAAAAAAAAATGGTACGTGGTCTTTAAATAAATGCACAAAAAAGATTAAAAACAATCATTAAGCTGTCATTTATGTGTATTCATAAAGTCAAAATGTAATCTAATAATGTGGTCTAAGTTTAAATGTTAAAAAAAGAAATACATTTTAAGACATCTTGCCATACCAAAAGTGGACATTTCTGTAGAATAACCTTGATATGATAGGCTGCCTTATAGTTCTGCTTTACAAGTGCTTTATCCAGTGTTTCTGCTTTGTGTATCAGAAAATGTCAACTTTTCCCTCATAATAAATAGGCTAAACAGGATTATATCTAATGGTACGTGGTCTTTAAATAAATGCACAAAAAAGATTAAAAACAATCATTAAGATGTCATTTATGTGTATTCATAAAGTCAAAATGTAATCTAATAATGTGGTCTAAGTTTAAATGTTAAAAAAAAGAAATACATTTTAAGACATCTTGCCATACCAAAAGTGGACATTTCTGTAGAATAACCTTGATATGATAGGCTGCCTTATAGTTCTGCTTTACAAGTGCTTTATCCAGTGTTTCTGCTTTGTGTATCAGAAAATGTCAACTTTTCCCTCATAATAAATAGGCTAAACAGGATTATATCTGCTTACCTTCTGTGAGATTGGATGAACCTCCATGTTTGTGGGCTGAAGTCCTATAGTTTTAAATAGTTTTTGATCAAGCATGACGACTTTACCAATGTTTGCTATATTTTACACCTTTCTGGAGTTTTATTTTAGGTTTTGATGTCCTTAAGAATATGTATTTGCAGTACAGGTACCAAAAACCATCTCAATATATTTTTACAGCTCCTTTCTCGGGAGCTCTGCTGAGAACAGGTCGATTTTGGCCTGTCTAATTAATATTCATGAGCCTCTCTTCTGATTGGCCTGTTGTTTTCTGAGTGACGCATGGCCAGGCCAACCACAGGTAACTAGGGTCAGCAGACGTCACAGCGCTAGCTGGAGGCAGCAAAACAAAGGGGAAACTGGAGGCGGCCCATTCAAACCAGTGCAGGTTCGGCTACATAAGGAGCTTAAAATATCATCTTGTTGTGATGTTGGGTGCCAGAATCGACGTAATACAGCCTCAGATTAGAAATCTGATCGCATATCTGCTGCCAGTGCCAGACAAAAAACCGACGACAGCTGTGGTTAAACGCGAGAAAAGGTTAAATAAAGTATTGTCTTTTGTTGTTATGGGCACGTCTACAGATTTCTTGCCATATGTCTATGTTTCTTGCATCTCACGATTATGTCGTGTATGAAATAATGTTTGTGTGCATGTGTGTAAAACAACAAACTGACCATATAATCATTTGTAATTGTATATACATTATTGTGATTAATTGCAGCTGGAACAATAATGTAGCAGTAAATATAGTTGCCTGCTGAAATTGAAACGTATATACATCTTCGTCATGACTAGATAGACACGATGAGTTTGTCTTTACACGTTAGATGTGATCCACCTCATAGTAACAATCCTTTCAGATCGTCCATGCTTTGAGTGAGTGTAACGTTACAGGTCGGCCGATCTGCTTTTGTGGTTAAAGTTAACCTTTTCGATATGTTTCCGTGTTGTCCTTGTTCAGCAAAAGCATGGACGCGATGTTGTCTGGGGGTTTGGCTAAAGGAGAGTGGGACGGTGGGTGGTGCTCGGGGTGGGGACTGAAGGCGGTGACTGTGTAGTTCTGACGTCAACTTTTTACGGAAGTCACAACGGTTCGTGAAAAATCACAGCTACTTTAAGCAGGCTGTGTGCATTTTACTGTGGACTGACTGTTTTGAAACTTGTATGGTAGTTACATAGCACCTAGACCTCAGTTATCATGAAAAAAGCCAGGAAATTTCAGTTTTGACAATATGGGACCTTTAAAGTAACAATCCTTTCAGATCGTCCATGCTTTGAGTGAGTGTAACGTTACAGGTCGGCCGATCTGGTTTCGTGGTTAAAGTTAACCTTTTCGATATGTTTCCGTGTTGTCCTTGTTCAGCAAAAGCATGGATGCGATGTTGTCTGGGGGTTTGGCTAAAGGAGAGTGGGACGGTGGGTGGTGCTCGGGGTGGGGACTGAAGGCGGTGACTGTGTAGTTCTGACGTCAACTTTTTACGGAAGTCACAACGGTTCGTGAAAAATCACAGCTACTTTAAGCAGGCTGTGTGCATTTTACTGTGGACTGACTGTTTTGAAACTTGTATGGTAGTTACATAGCACCTAGACCTCAGTTATCATGAAAAAAGCCAGGAAATTTCAGTTTTGACAATATGGGACCTTTAAAGTCTCCATTTCTGCGGCTGACGGTCACATGCTGCTGCTTGCTAATTGGCGGTTATTTTGCGCCAAGTACCAAAACAATGCTAAGCCGCGAACTGGTTAGTTGACGCACCGTGTTTATTATTCTCGCGAGATGTAAGAAACGATCATTTGCTTATAATAGTACATTTTAGTTGTCAATAAAACAGTGATTTAAAGATATCAAAATGTATTTAAAATGAGATAAAATCTCTGGCATTATACACAAGTTTTCTGTAACGTTTAATTTGGAATTTTAAAGAAGTTTCTTTTAGTTAAACACGGCTGCATTTCAAAACACTTTGCCTGCGCCCCAATGTGCATACTATCCTAAATTCTATTAGTGATTTTCAATACTATTTAGGGCAGAGAGTATGCACATTGGGTATGCACGCACATTGGGTATGCACGAGTATGCACGCAGAGACTGTCTACCTTCTTCTTCTTGACTGACAGTGTGATGTCAGATCAATGGTCTCTTCCCTCAGGGTGACACACTCATTATTTAAAGATGGATGAGCGGTGGCCACACAACCCTGCCCTGCTTGGACAAATAACATTGACAAGGACAATACTATTGCTAACATTTAGCATTCGTGCACTGCATAGACGTAAGTGTGCTTTCGTTAATGAGATGTTGTCATAAGACACACATGGGTTCAAACAAACAAGTACAATATGTGGTAACACAGACCAGTCTGACAAAATCTGGTTCAAATATGATCTCACAAACCTGTGAAAGCTAATGGCATATGTTCAACATCCCTGAAGTTATCTGTTACAATAGGGACGAGTTGTGCCCTACCAATTCTCCTAGTACCCATTTCTACTTCTTTTCCACCTGTGCTGGGTCACATTAAGCAGTTCTTTTTCCTGGGCAAAGGGTTCATCACAGGGTGAGCTGTCTGTCCAACAACCTTCTCAGATTTATCTACTATTTGGCTAACCTTGCACTGAACTCACCCTCTGAGATTTGAGCTGACTTCTCCAACACACATGCACCAGAGACTGTCTACCTTCTTCTTCTTGACTGACAGTGTGATGTCAGATCAATGGTCTCTTCCCTCAGGGTGACACACTCATTATTTAAAGATGGATGAGCGGTGGCCACACAACCCTGCCCTGCTTGGACAAATAACATTGACAAGGACAATACTATTGCTAACATTTAGCATTCATGCACTGCATAGACGTAAGTGTGCTTTCGTTAATGAGATGTTG